TTGATAGGGTTTATTGAGCATAATTATTAGTTTTTTTGTACCCCCTCTAATTTGTCTATCAAATCAAAATTTGCTTTAGTGTATACAGGGTGATTCTAAAAAGATGGGAAAAATTTTAGGAAGTGATAGTACACACGCAGACAAACAATTTTTATCAAAAGATGCATGGTCGAAAACAAAACGCAAAGGTGCTGGCGCATTTGGAAAGTTGTTTGATGCAAACGAGAAAGTTCCATTCCTGTTGCGAGTTACTGCGCTACGTTATTTGTCACTAAGCTTTTGGCCGCTGCAGGGAAAGTTCGCCTATCTTTTATTCGCCGTTGTACCAGCATAGCCGCTGCCGGCCACTATTTTGAACACTTATTGTAATCGCATGCCATTAAATTTGCTTTTGTATCTTAACTTCATCGTTCTTAGTGTGTTTTTGCCCCATATAAGAACATAAACTTTGACGCCCTCTAGCGGTTTTGGGTTTTGTTTTCAACCATGCATTCTTTGATAAAAATTGTTTGTCTGGGTGTGTACTATCACTTCCTAAAATTTTCCCCATCTTTTTAGAATCACCTTGTATAGCGGTTGTATTGACTATAACACAACCAATTAGAACAATGAACTGCTTTTTTATAAAAAAATATTTAAATTTAACTTTAAAAATCAAATTTTTGAAATATATAGGAGTGGTTATTGACATCTTTGTAAAGAATTTTTAATATAAAAATTAACAAAATTTCCACCAAAAAATTTTACGATTAATTTTCTACATAAACCTATCAAAAAAAAAAATTTTTTTTTAAGTGTCCAAATATGACACTTACACCAAATTTTAGGTAATTCCGATAAAGTTTGATTTTTTTTGAAAATGTTATGCAAAATATGTGATTACTACTGTAGCCGTGATCTCAAGTAATCTAAATTCAAATCATCGTTACTTGCATCAAGAATACACGCAATCAAAATATACTATTACAAATAAATACGATTGTATACTGTATGTATAATGTATGTATACTATATGTATATTATACAATACAGATGGTATAATAAACATTTTTTAACGTATTTGCCAGCAACGCAAGAAAGTATGCATCTAAATAAATTGTATAAACATAAACATAAATATTTACCAAAAATACGTGTACGTTGTATGAACCTAAAATTTATGCACGTATGTATTTGCAAACAATACAGACATTTGCGTGTGTACATGCATACAGTAAATATGCATTTTTTATGTATTACGATTGAACCTAAAATGTATTTACGTATGTATCTGCATACAATAAATGTTCGAACGTGTGTATTTACATACAAAGTATGCACAAAATTATGTTGTCACAGTGTATGTGTGTGTTTAGATTGAATGCTCATGCGTGAGTGCATACATAATACAAGTCATTATTAACTGTATGTATGGATAAATATAAATTGTAATATAAATTTTAACTTATGATCTAATGATCGGATCTTCACGTTTTGGGACAAAATCTGAAAAGAAGACGATAATTCAAGCTACGAAATCAGACACAAAAACGGACTTTCCCTGCTAAAACATACCTTTTTTTAAGCGAATTCAAATTTCTGACCCTTAAAGTATTAATTTTAATTTTAATTAGTTGAAATATTAAATACTTCCTAAAATGAATTTTGAAAAAAATTAATTTTAATAAATATTAAATATTTTATTCAATAGTAGTGAAAAAAATTTTGAATTGTAAGGTATAAATTTTTTTGCATCGTTTTAAAGAATGCAGCTTTACATGGCAAAATACAAAATTTCAACAAAATTGGCTGTATAGTTCCTGAGAAATAGATAAATATTTTCTATTGTGGCGACATCCATTGAGTAACAAGTGAAGCAAAATATCATATTTCTTTTTGGTAATATTGATATTTTCCATTGTGGCGACATCTATTGTAAAAATATGGAAGCAAAATATCAAGAAAAAAATATTTATTATTTATATTTCGTAATATTAATATTTTGGGTCTGGATTTTCGATTGTGGTGACATCCATTGAATAACAAATGAAAAATATATCATATTTATATCTTGAAATATTTATATTTTCTATTGTGGTGACATCTATTGAATAACAAATGAAGCAAAATATCAAGAAAAGAATATTTATTATTTATGTTTCGTAATATCCATATTTTCTAGGGTGGTGACATCTATTGAATTGTAAATGAAGAACGACGCAAAATATCAAGAAAAAATATTTATTTTTTATATTTTGCAACATTTATAATTTTGATAGTGGCGACATCTATCGTACAAATATGGAAACAAAATATCAAGAGAAAAATATTTATTATTTATATTTTGTAATATTAATATTTTCTATTGTAGTGACATCTATTGAATAACAAATGAAGCAAAATATCAAGAAAAAAGTATTTATTATTTATATTTTGTAATATTAATATTTTCTATTGTGGCGACATCTAATGAGTAACAAATGAAGCAAAATATCAACAATAAAATATAATTTTTTACTATTTATATTTTGTATTACTAATACTTTCTATTGTTGCGCCATCTATTGAATAACAAATGAAGCAAAATATCAAAAATATATATCTGTAAGCCAAGAAGCAAATATCGGTAGCCTTGTCATTTTGAAACTAATCCAGAAAACACAGGGAATTCCTCGATCAAGTGTTGGGCGAAAATTTGTCTTAGTAGAGGTTTTTTTCATGGAGCTTACCAGCATTTGCGTTACATGGAGAGGAAAACCACGATTACCTCCCACTGTTAGCCTGACGGCAAATAGTCTCTAACCCATGATCCGTCTACCTCTGAGGATATTTCACGTCAGCACTGTTTTCGTGCAAGCTGGATGCGGATTCGTATGGACCAGACATGAGTGGGATTTGAACCCGGTTCACGTCATTGGAAGGCGAGCTCTCTATCCCCTGAGCCATCACGACTTTGAGGAAGTGGTAGAAAAATTGCGATGGCATGTCTTAGGATCCTTATCAGGGAAGTTTCCTTCGACAATAGCCTATTGTGCAGCTCTAGTGTGCCCTAAATAGTACCTACCTCGAAACGGGTATGCTTTTCAGGTGAATTTGAAAGAGAACTTTGTTAAGTCTATTTCTTCAGTTGTTCAACTGACGAAGAGCTCGCAAAGCTCTTTTATGTGAGGATTTTTAGTAGCATCACAAAAATTATTAGAATTCAGTTTTGTGATATTTTTTAATCTAGAAGTTTGGTTGTTGTTTCTTTAAATATACACAGAGCCGGATTATACCTTTCGTAGGCCCTAGGCATAGCCGTTTTTGGGCCCTCCCCTCCTTCCCCCACTATATTAGCTAAAATTTTCTTGCATATTTTTTTTTTTACATTTTTATTAATATGGATTTTAATTTATCTGCAATACCGACATACTGCCGACATTGCAGTTGATATCGATAATACCATTATGATTAGTTCGATCGATAACTATGTAAATACTTCACGTCAAGATCGTTTGGCATCGCTCGCACTTATGTCTATTGAATACGACGTTTTGCTTAGTTTGGAATTCGACAGCATAATACAAGATTTCGTAGAATCCAAAAATTGTAGAAAAGTAATATATTAGATCATAAGATTCCGCAAAATAATTTATTACCGAAAAATATTATATTTTTATTTGTATCTTCATAATTTTGTGCAAAATACACTTGTTGTTTTTAAAGCTAAATTATTTTTATCAACAAATTTTTTTCTCCTAAGTTTTTCGTAGGCCCCTGAATTTCGTAGGCCCTAGGCACGTGCCTAGTGATTATAGGTTAATCCGGCCCTGAATATACAAAAATAATTTTTGATCCATGTGATCAGTCGTATGCATACAGATAGAAATATAATTTTTTTTGCAAATTTCAAGAATTTTTTATAGTAAAATTATTAGATTTACCACGTCCATTTATTTTCTCACACAATATATTAAACATCTTATTTTTAAACATGAAAAAAGTAAATGTTTTTAATCTGAGAAATCAGATTATGTACCATATATTTACAATATTTCGTGGCATAATGAAAGTCATATTATGTATTTCAGATCTTATTAAGCTGCGTGTTTGCTATGGGGAATCAAGAATCGGCAAAAAGAACATTGCCCGTTGGTAAGAATAATTCGAAAATTTCTTCTTAGGGTACAAATAAATTATCTGAATTGCTAGATTCACTGGCCATTTGATTGGCCAAAATTAGACGCACTGTAGTTTTTTTTTTAAACAATTGCGAGATTAATAATTGTGAGATTTCCAGGCGAACACTCTATCCCCTGAGCCATAACGGTAAATATAATCGAATATGTTTCTATTTTATAACCGCCATAGAGCAGCTGACCCATTTTTTTGGGGTTTATGACTACTGATGTGCAACTCCGTAACCTTGTAATTTTGAACCCAATCCAGAAAACAAAGAAGCTTCTGAATCAAGTATTGGGAGAAATTTGCCTTTTTGAGGACTTTTTTTCAAATGGAACTGAGTCGCATTTGACTACCATGTGACATGGCGAGGAACATGGCGAGGAAAACCTTCCACGGTTAGCCTGATGGCAAGGGGACTCTAACTCGTGATCCGTCTACTACTGAGTATACTTTACGTCAGCACCGTGGTCGATGCAAACTGGATGTGGAATCGTATCGACCAGTCATCGCTGGGATTCGAACCCGGTTAACCTCATTGAAAGACGAATGCTCTATCCCCTGAACAATCACTGCTCATAGTAGTAGAATATAGCAGATATTCAAGAGAATGTTCGAGAAAATATATATTTTGTTGCAATTTCGGTCCATCACTGCCGCTTTCCGATCAAGGTCTTCCAACCTTTGTCGCTCAAAATTCCGTCAACGAAACTCTTGGCAATAGAATTCGCTTGGCGATCATCTATTTCTGTTTATCAGTATAGGGTTGTAGAAAGTCCGGCATTGAAGACAGTGCGAAATTTTTCGACTCTTTATTCAGAGTTGAGTTAGATATTTAGCTTTTTGAAAATGGCAATGGTAAACATGCGCTGTCACATTTTTTTTTTATTTCTTGTAGGCGGCTGCGGAGCAGACAGAGGGGTTGGTAGGATTGTAGGATATTAATAATAAGATACATATATGTAAAGTAAGGAAGTTTGATTGGAGAGTGTGCTTTGTGTATTTTGTTACATGATATTTGCCGGAAATGGAATTCAAAATAAGTGTTGGTGAAGCAATAGAACTTTAAATAATTCGTTTTTTTTAAAATTTCTATTTATGTTACTACGGGAAATTTAATAAATGAAATTAATCCTGGTGAAATTAGTACATAATTAACTTATGTTCTTCAATGAAGAAAGTTGCGATAAAGTTTCGTGGCCTATTTATGCGTAGTTTAACCAATTCAGATTAAATAACTCATTGTTTTTCTATGATCTAATTATACATTGAGGTAAAAACTTGCAATTTTAAAACATGGAAGAAGAAATCAGACAGGGATTACCTGGAACAAAATCTAGTGATACTGTAGTTGAACTGAAATCTACTACAATTGAAAGTAGTACTTCTTCTGGTAAGAAACATTTATTTTTTTCCGCATTCCGCAACAATCAGTTTTTCCGCATGCATGCCCGAAATGTATTTCCTACAAAAGGAGTCTCGTCCCTATAATCAGTAGAATCCATCCATTTTTTTAGTATTCTGATATTAGTTTCTTATTTATAATATGCATATCTGACAATGTTATCATTTATTACTGACGAATCTATTCTTGTACCTACAAAGTATAGGAAATAAAATCAGTTGCAGTAGATTCTACCAATTTATGTTTAGTATTCTGATATTAATTATCAGCTGTATAGCATTTAAACCTTTTAAAAGCGAATTACTATTTGAAACATTTGTAAGGACTAACTTATGCTATTTTAGTATTGGAAACATTTAGTGTAATGATAACTCAAATTATCTATTTTTTGATGTTTATTTACAGCAGTGTCAAATTGTCTTCAGAATATAGGCCAAGGGTAGAAAATCCGAAAATGTTACAATTCCTTAAACTAAACGAGATTAATTATGGGACATAATTTCACTTGTTAGCCTACATGTTTCTATTATTATTTGTTTTTTTTTTTAAAAAAAAGAGCTCGTAAAGTACTATTAAATAAAGAGAAAACTACAATGCAGAGCATGTGTAATGTCAATTATGACTAAAAGCCTATTTTGTGACAAAACCTGGAAACTGAGAATAAAGACAAAACATACTGTCCCTCAAGGTATATTGTTGATACGGGGGCAATTCATAAGTATTTTTGATAATCTAAGACAAATTTTACAGCTATTGGAGTTCTGGACCATCATTAGTTTCAAAGACCAGGTGTCTGTCCAGGGCAAATTTACTGCCGTTTAGCGGTACCTTCACAAATTCAACTTTAGAAAAACCGTAGTTTCACAAAATACTCTTTCTTAAAATTTTATTTTTGTATCCCGTAAGAAAGGATAAATCCATATTTTTGTGTTGATTTTCTTGATAAAATTTTTAATTTCCACAAATTAGGTCTAAATTTTCACAAAATAGGTACCTCTCAGAAAAACTTGGACAGACCCCTGGTACTTAATTTATTTTAACAAACCTTTAATTTTTTATTAAACACTTTTTTTCTCTGTGAAACTTTTTTTTACATGACACTGTGAGAAATGTTTTTATAATGAAAATAACTTTTAGTGCAAGTACTGTCAAATGTTCAAAATCAATTTTTGTTTTTTAAATTCAAGTTGAAATTTAACAATGGACAATGATTTTTATGGATTTTTAAATTTAGAAACAATTTTGAACCAAGTCATAATATGATTAATAAATGTATGATTTTTATTTTCAGTGACAATTCTTGAAAATATTTTCTTACTTTACAATATTTTTGTGTTGATTTTTTAATATAATTTTTAATTTTCACAAATTATGTCTAAATTTTTACAAAATAGGTACCTCTCATAAAAACTTAAACTTCTGAAGACCTGATTGACCAAAATTTTTTTGAAAGATTATATGGAAAGTGATAAGATCCGTTCACTTTATGTCATTCCTCCCCGTATCTACTGCAGCCTATTATTCTATGGTGTTCAGAATATCTGAATTTATAACAAAAACCCCACTCACAGTCATATTTTATTACAATATAAAATGTTTTTATCCTGTTCTTTAAATTATGGTGCTCTTTCAAAAAATGAAAGAAAAAACATTTCTGGAGTGAATTATCTTTTAAACTTCTGTGATTTCAGAATTTGCTGAAGCAAGCCAGTCATTTGAGATTTTTTTTTCGGGAGTAAGAACAGAAAAATCACTAATATTTCTTTTCTTTCTGATGAACAAGAAAAATATCTTTAAAGATAGAATATTTTTTTTTTTGCTTTTGTATTTTTTTGTTGTTGTTATTTTATCTCTTTTTTACTCTGTTTTTTAAATTTAAAATCTATAAATATGAAGAGTATAACAGTTTTGGTTATACCTATCATTTCAATGAATGTTATTATGCTTTTTTAAATTTAGTGTTGTGTTTTCGTGGGCGAAAATAGTAACTTCATTGGATTTGAAAATCTAAATGTAGCAGATACCCTGTAAACACTGTAATTGATTTTATGACAGTTTCTTCTTTGTGTAAATAATCTGTCAAATCACTGGCTATTCGTCATTCACCTAATTTTTGTGTATACGAAATATTATAATTTTGTATTTACAAAACATTATGAAACTCAGTTCAATACTTATACACTAACTAGTCATAATTTTCACCTAATTTTTATGTATATCAATTAATACCTTTATTAATATTTAATAAACAAATGTAGTTAGTACGTGGTCTGTAGGCTTTTTAAATAGCATTGAAAGGTGCTTATTTTTGATTTTCGTTTTTTAAAAGCCATTAAAGTTGCTTTTTTCATTGAATGTTTTTAAATAGTATTTAATTTTCCCTTTTCCTAAATTAGATTTTTTTTTCCTTACTCAAAAGCGTGCTTTTCATGTTGTTCAACGGTTTCACAATTCATTCAACCACATTCTATTTCGGCGTACTGTTTTACATGTTTGATGAAATGCTTGCGAGTTCGCGTCTGAGTCTACGAGTCTGGGTTCGGTGAGATTCTTGCCCTCTCATGTGCAACTCGGCTGTATTTTGCTAATTTCAGGCTTCATTTTCCACCCTCTGATGTCGAACCGAAAAATCTCTCCATTATTTTGGCTAATATAATCAGGAAAAAGAGTTCTTTGTCAGAAACTAATTAATTTATCATGATCCTGTGAAGTTTTTGAAAATTATTTTGTCTTTTGTTAAAGTATATAGTGCTCAAAAATACTTTTTAAGTTCTTAAAAAGTGCTTAAAAGGTTTTGATTTTTAGTTGAAATATTTGGCTATGCACCCTTTAGTATAAAATGGATATTAAAAAAAAGTTATCAATTAAGAATATACTTCCTGTACTCCAATAAATGTTTCTCAAAAATAATGCATGATAAATGTACAATAAATATAAATGATACTGAAATCATTTTAATTGAGAAAAATAACTATGAATGAGTAAGGGCATTTAAGTACCTTGGATAGCTAATTATCAAAACAAATAGAAATCAGAGCGAGGACAACTGTCAGAATATTTCATTTCATGAAAGAGTTGTATTTAAACATTAAATTAAAATTCTTATGCTTAAAGTGATAATACGACTAATTGTACTACATGGAACTGAGACATTTTAATTAAAAGTGTCTGACCTTTTAAAGATATAGAGAATTTTGGGAACGATTTTTGGTGCATTTGAAGTGTCAGAGCAAATAAAGAGATCAATGGTAAATGCGAGACATTGTAACAATTAAGAATAAAATTCTTTTGATATATATTATTATATAAATGCTAAATAAGGTCAAAATCACTGTGACATTGTCGCAGAACATTACAGATTTCCTGCAGAAGGATTTTATTTTGAGAAGTAAAAGAAAATTACTTTTCTTTTCTACAGAAATTTATAAGTAATATTTGAATCATGTATTTAGATAATCAGTCTTTGACACGTTCAATTTACGCCGATAGTATCATAAATCGATGTAATGTTTCGAATGTATTTCCGGCAGTTATTAATGATGATTTTCAAGTGGATTTTAAATTTCTCGATGTATTTCAAATAAAATGGAAAATTTGAATCATGCATTTGAGTATTTAATTTTTAAGGCAATAATTCTATCCAATTTTCGGCATTTATTGCTATTGGTTTCTCCATAGTTTTTAAATCCGATATTTTTTATGCGACATTATTTATTACAACAACCTAATCTGGAAAAAAACAAGCATTTGAGGAGTTCGATTAGAGTGGTTTCATTGTCAATCTTTTTTTTCAGCAATTGCTACTACGGATTTCATGGTTTTTAATTTTTCTTTATTGTGATGATTATTTATAAAATACGACGGAAATAATTTATTCTCCTCCCCCTACAAAATGCTAAAATATTGCCCATAATATTAGAATTAAAAAATATTACTTGTTCAATTAAAAAAATATATGTATAGTAGTTCTTTCGTAAATAGAGCGCCTTTGTTATTTCAAATGAGTAACATATATGTTTGTTGTTATAAAAAGGAAGAGTTTTGTTTCAAAGAAATTCTGCCACAGGTGGTCAAAATCTAGGGGAACAAGATGGAAAGAATGCATAAAAGAGAAAATAAAATTACTACAAAAACCAACTTAATTTAAGAAAAAGGCCACCTGCAGAAAAGAATAATTCAAAAATTTGAAGGGTTCTGCATTGTAATTGAAACCTCTTATTTAATTTTGACATGAAATAGAAGTTCTCATCACCTTTTCTACCTTATTAGTATATAAAACTACCTATGTTAGAGCTGTTGACATATCATTTTTTGTTATTAATTACATTTTAATTTCGAAATGTGAATTTTAGTTTTGAATAGTAATAATGGTCTTTTTTTTAATTGTTTTTTTTTGTCTTTTTATCAAATTTTATTTTTAAATTTCTTTTTAATGGCAAAGATTTTATTGTAACTTTATTCATATTACTTATTCATTTTTTTATTTATTAATGTGATTTTATTTTTAGAAACACATCCTGAAAAAAAGGCTAAGCCACCCCCTTTGGATGTAAGTATGCTTTAAAAGTTAATTCCTGTTTCTTTAAGATTTAATTGTCCTGTATTTTTTTTCTTTCAATTTTTAAGTATCTACTCTATTTTATACAACAATTTGCATATAAAAGTAATATTTAAAGTGGGATTTTTCTCAGATATGATTGTGCTCCGGAAAAAATCCTGATTAGGGTGACCCGGGGTAATTCACGATCACTCTGTTTCTGGGGTAAATAATGATCACCTAGTGTGGGCCTACTGTTGAGATTAAAAAAATGAGATAATATTGAATAATCATTTAAAAAAAATACTATGATTACGCAAATATTTTTACACTCTACTTTTGTCTCAAGACTTTTACAGGTACAAAATAGTAAAAATGGTGGAAAAATACAGTTTGAATTTTATTCAAATTGGTATAGTAATTGTTTTTTAGTCCTATTTTATTAAAATACAAATGAGCAAATCATAATGAATTGCAAAAATTTAAACCATTAATGTTATTTTCTCATAATTTATGCTTTACGATTTTTATTTCTTACTTTTCATTTAAATTAGTTACATAGTTAGTGCCTAAATAAGCCATTTTGGTACACAAATTTCCTTTTGCAACAAATATTATCACAAAAATCAGGGTGAAAAACATTTCATCTGATATTCGTAGTTAGACTGCATTATCTAAAACAAGACATTTAACAAGAAATTAAACAATCTGAGAAAAATAAACTGCAATATAAAAATTATACACATTTTCCATAGATTGACTTATGCTTGCTGTAATATCAACTCATGCAGAAAAATATTTATTCTATTTTAATGAGGGAGCAGGTATTACAACAGTCACAAAAAATAAAAAAAGTATGCATTTTGTTCTTTAGTTAACCCAAAGTGTGATCAAAAAATATATTTTATTTGTAATTAATGTTAAATATTTTCAAGAAAATTCAAATTTAAAAAATAATTCTAAATTTTTTTTTTAACAAGATGAGTACTTTCCTTCAAAATACAAGATACACAAAATATAGATTAAAAATTTAATAAATTAATTTCTTACTGCAACAAAGCTATCACAAAATCTTCAAATTACTTCAGTGTCCTGATCATAATTCATTTCAGCATCTAATTCTTCATCATCTTCTTCATTACTCTCACTTTCATCATCATCATTATCATCATCCTCTTCTTCATCATCATCTTCCTCAAAATGCTAAATTAAAAAGGTACAAAAAATTATTTGCAATAAATAATCTGTCAGATATTGTCAACTATTTTCTAAGCATATATTTTTTNGAAGTTTCATGAAATCATCGATCACATTTGTGTATAAAAATTCTTGTAGATTTTATTTAGAAATATCAGAACTAGAATTTATGCTTGGCAACTCTTTCATTTGTAAATATTTTTTTTCTGGTAGAATAATAAATGTGATTTGAGGTAAAAGTAAACTTATGCATAATTATTCATTTAAATTACGCTGCATATAATTTAATTAGAATTTCATGTTTTGAAAATATCAAGGATTTAAATGTATAAAGACATAAAATTTTTGAAATGGGTCATTAAAAGTTTCCAGAAATTCTAGGTCTGGAAGTTTCATGAAATCATCGATCACATTTGTGTATAAAAATTCTTGTAGATTTTATTTAGAAATATCAGAACTAGAATTTATGCTTGGCAACTCTTTCATTTGTAAATATTTTTTTTCTGGTAGAATAATAAATGTGATTTGAGGTAAAAGTAAACTTATGCATAATTATTCATTTAAATTACGCTGCATATAATTTAATTAGAATTTCATGTTTTGAAAATATCAAGGATTTAAATGTATAAAGACATAAAATTTTTGAAATGGGTCATTAAAAGTTTCCAGAAATTCTAGGTCTGGAAGTTTCATGAAATCATCGATCACATTTGTGTATAAAAATTCTTGTAGATTTTATTTAGAAATATCAGAACTAGAATTTATGCTTGGCAACTCTTTCATTTGTAAATATTTTTTTTCTGGTAGAATAATAAATGTGATTTGAGGTAAAAGTAAACTTATGCATAATTATTCATTTAAATTACGCTGCATATAATTTAATGATGTTTTTCATGTTTTGAAAATATCAAGGATTTAAATTTATAAAGACATAAAATTTTTGAAATGGGCCATTAACGATTTTATTCTAGAAATTTTCAGGATTTTCGAGTTGGGCTCACAATCACCGCTGTAACACAGAAAATGCATTGAATTTTGAGATTTTCTGTACAAACAGGGAATTTTCTTTCTTATTTGTGTCTTTTAAAAAATAGTGACCAATCAAAGCGTAATCGGGATATTGAAGGATGATATTCCAACTTTACTAAACTATTTCATTTACTACTATAGCATTATTTAAGTGTGTTCAGCTGTTCCTTTGTTTTTTCTCCAAGTTTTTACAGCAGTTAAAACTAGTATAGTGCATATACCTACGGTTGGAAATTCTCTTTGCGTGAACTAGCAGACATCTATGCCATAATTGAGATCATCAATGTACTATCGGGTACAACGTTCAGCATCGCACATGTAGACATCAATGTTAACGATACATCGGGAAACATGGTGCACATCTCAGTAAATAGTTATTTCCGATCTTCGAAAAATAACCAATCCAAACAGCCGATTGACGATATGTTTTTTATAATTGCTCTAGGAGGCGAAAATTTTTGTTTTTCTGAATGACATAGATATACCAACTTTTTTGTTCTTTATATTTTGTTTAATGTTAATAAGTGGGCTTTATGAATAAGTCACATTTCTGAACCTCTATTTACTGGCATTATTGAATGTAATTGTTGAATGTAATTATAGATGAATTCTGCTCAAGAGATGGCATCATCGCAGGGAATGACTGAATCAGAAAGAGGAGGACCCAAGACACCTGTTAGCGCTCCACCCATTACTCCTGACAAAATGCTGTATCGCCAGAGATATAAGGAACGTAAAATTGGTCATCGTAGAGTGAACGAAGAGGGAGAAATAACATTTAAAAAAGTAAGTATATTTTCTTCAATGGTCCATTCATTTGTTTTTATTGGGTTTAGAGTATAGCAATAAAGAAAAAAAAGAGATTTATAAAACTTTAAGACGCAATTGATTTTTACAAAAGTAGTGCTACTTCAAGATATTATGCATTGTAATTATTTTATAACTATGTTTCAATCTCTATATACTGTTTTTGCATGAGTATTTAAGCATACTAGAAAATGATTTTATTTTTTCTTATTTTTTTGAAGTTATCTACTACAAATAATGGAACATGAATTATGAGTTAAGCTGTTTTATATCTGCTCCAATCTGAAAACATCAGACAGTCAGATATCAGACAAAAAAACTGGCCTCGCAAAAAAAGGAGAAAGATCTGAACTTCTTTTACAATCAATCAAATTCTATCAAGCCAAGAGAAATTCCTTATAGTATTTATTTATCTAACAGCCATGGAGTATAGTGCAAAATTTGATTTAAATAAATAATATTAAGTACACCATACCACTACATATTTTTAAATTAAACAAAAATATATGTTTTTTTAATATTAATTTAGCCGTGTGACGTGTTTTATTCAAAGGCATTCAAAAATGAAATAAACGATACTAGATTTAGCTCTCTATGCCAATTAGTTCTAGCTGTTAAAGAAATTTAAAAAGTGCAAAAGATTTAAACTTTTTAGTTTTCATCCATCTTGTTAGTTCTACCTAAGAGTCAAAATAAACTGACATTTTGTAGGGGTTTGTGCAGGGTAAATTTACTACCTTTTTAGCGATACCTTCACAAATTCAACCTGAGGAAAAATGGTAGTTTCACAAATTACTTTTAAAAAAGCAAGTCCTCATGCAAACCCGTGCTCGTTGCAATTTATGAAAAAGAGGAGCTTTTCTGTCAGCTATCTTTTACAAAAAAATAGCTCACGTTTGGTCAGATAATGCAATGTGATAAGTCTAACTGGTCGCTTATGCCATATCAAACCGAGCTTCTTTTTTTTTTTTTTAGTTTTTTATAATGAAATACCGAGTCTCTCCCTGTATAAACTACACAGGAAGTCAAAATTCTGAACATTATTTTAAACATTGGAATATTATCCTAAACACTATTGAAAATTTATTTTAACAAACCTTTATTTTTTGATGAAAAATTTTTTGTTCTCTGTGAAACTTTTTTCTGTTTGACCTAACAAAAATTTTATCATAATGAAAATAAATTTTACTGTTAAATGCATATTTTTATTAAATTCAAGTTGAAATTTAACTATGGACAATGATTTTTATGGATTTTTAAATTTGGATACAATTTTAAGCCTAGAAGTTTACAATAGCGAAATTATTTTTGAAATAGAATAAAAATAAATAGAAATTTATGAGTCATAATATGATTAATAAATGTATGATTTTTATTTATCGTGACAATTTTTGAAAATGTTTTCTTACTTTACCATATTTTCGTGTTGATTTTTTAATATAATTTTTGATTTTCACAAAATAGGTACCTCTCAAAAAAAAAAAAAAAAAAACCAGACAGACCTCTGTTTTAATTTTTTGTTAATTTTGTATGCAATTGCATTATTCTCATTGAATTCTTTTTCTTTCCTTAATATAGATAGGCACATCAGTTATAATGCAGAGTATACAACTGGGCATTGGCCATGCAATTGGGTCATTGGCCTCAAAGCCTGAGCGTGATCTACTTATGATGGATTTCACAATTGTTGAAACTGTCAGCTTCCCTCCGTTAGTATATCATTTTTACTTTTTCAGTAAGAACTCCCCCCGCCTCACTGCCATGGTAAGAAGAAAGGATAGCTTTACTTCACTCAGCGGGTTAACGCTATAGAGCGACGAAAATAATTACCTTTATCTCTCCAACCTAAGCCAAAATCTGTCCTAAACAGTGACCCCACACACCTACTTGAAATAGTTAAAATTTGTCACCATAGTAACCACCACAAGTCCAATGACTGGGGGAGTTCTTACTTTAGACAAACTATACAATAGTCGGCTTTGTTGTTCATTCTTAACTCTATTTGATTATAATAATGATTATACTATTTTATTTGTAAATTTAGTATTCAATATATTTATTTATAAAGTTTTTAATATGCAAGCACAAGATTCTTCTGATTTGGCAAAATTCCCGACTTTCTAAACTTTATAAGAAATTCAATTATTAAACTTACGCAAGCATATTGAATATTTGCATGAATTTCTAAAGTTTATAAATCTTGATTTATAAGCTTTCTTTATAAATCGTGATTTTATTCTCTTTAATCATGATTTATATAGAAAGTTTAATAGTGTTTTAGACTGTCAATCTACACTTATACTTTGAAAAAAAAATTATTAATAAAATGATATAATATATTAATAAAACAATATATTAATAAAACGATATAATATTTTAGCAATCTTTTTACATCATTATGTTTTACTATACTCTTTTATGAAAAGTATTGGAAGAATAATTTATTTTAATTACTTAAGAAATTCATTAAAGAAGAGCCCTGGTTTATGTTTTTTAGTCATTTTCCTGAATATTACATCCATATTTCCCCTTTTACAAATTGGAATTTCTGAGTCTTTGAAACTTTAATTTAGATACTATTATTCTTTTCTATTGTATTATTATTATTCTATTGTTATTACTATTCTATTATTATTATTTTGACGCCCGGCGGCTGAGCGGTAGCGCTTCACAATGTTGTGCCACATGTCCCTGGTTCAATCCTCGGGCCGGGCAAGGTTGACTCAGGCTTTCATCCCTTCAGTGGGTCGATTGATGAGTTCCAAGCATGCTTGGGAACTAAACACTGGGGGTTCCGTGTTCGGCTGACCACCTGACCGGAACATCTGCTCCTGCACCCCTAAGCCCAAGGTCAAGAAAACTGAGATGGGCACAGTAGGCCTTGGCCCTCTATGGGCTGTCGTTTAGTTTAGTATTATTATTATTTTGATAATGATTATTTTCATCTTCTGTTATAGGGATGGATCTAGTGTCACACCTGCTCACAGCTTCTCTGAATTCAAGTTCAAAACCTACGCTCCCCTCGCATTCCGCTATTTCCGAGATCTGTTTGGGATTGCTCCTGACGACTTTTTACTCTCCCTCTGCAATCATCCCATGCGTGAATTAAACAACCCTGGCGCCAGTGGAAGCATTTTTTATGTCACCGATGATGATGAATTCATAATAAAAACTGTACAAAAGGGAGAGGCTGAGTTTTTACAAAAACTTCTGCCAGGTTACTACATGAATCTAAATCAGAACCCCAGAACTTTACTTCCAAAGTTTTTCGGACTTTACTGTTACCAGGTATATCTGTAAAATTAGGAAATATTTTACCTTTTTTGTACCTAAGTAGTTTTTCTGTATATAACTTGCTCTGATAAGAAATTACTTAATATGGTAGATTTTCATAACATTCCTTTGACATGTGAGGCTTTATATTAACAGTTAGGTGCACAGTGTTTTTAAAAAGTGTTTATTTTTGATTTAAGTTTTTTAAAAGTCCTTACAGGTGCTTTTTATATTCAGAGTTTGAGAAAAGGGCTTGATTTTTTTATCTTATAAAAAAAGATTTTCTCTTTGCCATGACGGTTGTTGTATTAAATTGCAAATGCAAAAAATGCACAATTTTTCACATTTTTCTCTGCTATATTTATCAGAAACTAGTTACTTTATCATGATTATGTAAAGTTTTTGAGTTATATTGATTTTATGTTTATAAATTACGAACCTTAAATGATAAAAAAAATATAATTTTTGTTACTGCACAGATCCTAATTATGATTTGGGGGGAGGGGTGATTAAAAATAATTTTTGAATGCTTAAAAAGTACTTATTTTTTGTTAAAAAATCTGGCTACGCACCCTGTCTGTATATCTCTTGCTCTGATAAGAAATTCTTTAATACGGTAGATTTTCATAACACTAATTTGAAGTGTGAGGTTTTGTATTACAGTAGCTACACAAATATCTGACGTCCAATCACTGGCAGTACATTTGACACTATTCATTATTAGACCTGCAGTTTCTAATTAAAAAGTTTGGCTGCTAAAAATAAAGAATTAAAAGTAAGATTTCTCAATTTTTTAAAAAAAAAATCTTTTTCTCATTTTCAATTATTATATAAGATCTAAAAACAAATATTTTTTTATTTTAAATTTTATTTAACCCACAACAAAATTGGGGTAATAGGACTCGTGGAACAATGTTGTGTCATTTTACTCATGGTTCAATTATTATTTTCATAGACTTTTTATATGTCTGCTTTTTTAAGAGTGTTTCTGATAGACATTTTTTCTTTTATTGCCACTTTTTAAATGAGTTTTTCCACTTCTGAGTTTTGTTTTTATCATTGGGCTGCAATTTGAATAGTTTTTCTGTAATTTTTTTCTCTTTTTTATTGCCTTTTTTCCCCTAAGAATACATATTTTTTAAAACCTTTTTTTTCAAAATTTTGCATATTTTAATTGCAAATTTTGTATATTTTGCATTATTTGAAAGCATTTCTAATAATTTTTTTTCAATTGTGCCATCTCTTTCAAATTATGTGGTAAAACAAAAAACTGAGATTTTCAGTGTTAAGATTTGTTTTTAGAAATAAAAACAAGATAATATCTTAACAGTGATTGTGTTTTTTACTTTTGAGTATTTTTTTTATTATGGCTCAGCATTAATTGAAGTTTATTTTTAGTAATTTTTATAGACTACAACCATTATATTTTTTTTCTTCACTTTATCATTTAGTTTTTAATCAAGACATTAAAAATAGAGATTTGTTTTACTTAATAATTCTGCATTTCCCGTGAATTCTAATTACCTTTATCTCTCNTTTTTTTCTTTATAGGGACACTGTTTAAACATGTCCCTCTGAAACTAATTTATTTAAGACCAACAGTTTCTGAAATTTAAAAGAATTAACTCGCATACTATAAAGCTTAACTAACAGAGAAAATTGCTTTGTTAAAAACAGTGTTTGTACCCGTAAAAAATTTAAAAAAAAAAAACTATTTTTTTTAAAAAGGTATATCGAACAGCAGACAGTAGATTCAGTAAAGTTTTCTTTGCTGGGAAATATAAATTATTAAAATTTGGGATACAGTCTTGATTTGTGATGAAACTAAAAATTGAAATTTGCACTTATAAAATACTAAAAATATATTTAAAAAAAAATTGTACCATAAATATTATATTATTAATATCCAGTCAGGGAGAGTGTCGATATTTTTACAATACTCCTGGATAACTTCACATGATATATTGATGTGTAATCGAAGAGCAACTGCAGTGTTGCCACCGTCTACTGAAATGTGACTATTTGCAACTATTTCCGGCCCGACTATAGCAACTTTTTCTACTATTAGAAAAAGCTACTATTTTCAGGAAAAGGAGACTATTGGGAGACTTTTCTTTCCTCCAGCGATGATTTTTATCATAAATTGTGTTGACAACCTGCCACATGTGGGAGCTCCTGAACACAATGAATCTTTTTTTCTTAAAAAATAAAAAATGTTAAATTGCAAATTTGAGTCATCATTTTTTAATGCACTCAAGTTGCACAGTTTCCATTGCAAGTCTATTTTGTTTCTATCTGTTGCTATCTGTTTTGTTTGTATAGCTGTTCCAACGTATATTGCTACGAAATTCTGCAGAATTTAAAAAACCCAATTTTTCATATGATATACTGATGCGTGAATTTAGAATTTGAATAATGTGTATCGATATATAGATATTTGCTAAATCCTCAGGGGGGATAGTTATGATGATAGTGGGGGAAGTTTGTTTTGGAAAAGTATGTTTTTTCTATGGAAAAGTATTTAATTTTTAGACTTTTTTCATATAAAAATTTAGTGTTCGAGTGCTAATGATTATATAAAAATTATCATATTTGCCATCCACTTGACTAATTAGTTTTCACGGTATATGGCAAATCATTTAATAAAATTTTAGTCATATTACTGAATTTTTTTTTTTCTTCTTATTTCGGCAACTATTTTCATGCTACTAAGAAAAACTTTTTGTTCATTTTCTGTGGCAACCCTGCAATTGATAGTGCTGCTCATTCATCCTGTGTAAATTCTGTTATTGGGTGTATGTTGCTTTAAAATGTCATTATTTTGCTTAGAATATATGAAATAGCAATAATTTTAGTCTTTTTTTTTTTTTTTAAACAAATTTATTTTTAACTTTTAAAAATTTTTAGTCTAAATAAAATGAAAATGCATCTCCTAAGATGTGTTTTTTTTTATTTATTTTTATTTTTGCAAAGAAGTGTTTTGAACATTTTCAAAAATCCCCAACCTTGTTACTTAATGGTTGTAAATTTTGCTTATCGTAAGTTATTTGCAAGTCATGTCAAATGATTAACCTGAGTTTTAATATTTGATGAGCTAAACTTCTGAAGAGGTGTTTTTCTTAATCTAATAATGTAATGTTACCCTGAGGATGCAACAGTAACAAGTAGTAGTTAGAAATTAAATTAGAATTATTTTAGAAATGTCTTTCAGTTTTGCCCTTCATTTCTTAAGTTTTAATTAATATTTACTTCTTTTTTTTTTAAATCCTGTAAGAGGAACGAGTATTCAGCTTTTATATATAAATTCTTAAACTTAAATAGAAACATTTTTCTCATACTAATAAATGTTAAAATTATTCTCTTAATATAAACCCTTTAAGCCATGTATTTTTTATTATTAATATTATAATTATCCTTTTATATTAACTCTTGGAAGAGAATTCAGGGATTTGTCTAGGACAAATTTACTACCATTTAGCAGTACCTTTACAGATTCAACTTAAGGAAAAACTGTAGTTTTGCAAAATACTTTTAAAAAAGCAAGTTCTAAAATTCTCTTCCCCCCTCCCACTACTTAAAATTTGTTGTTGTATTTCTGTAAAAATGATAAACCAGGAATTAATTACGCATTTTGATTTGCAATGGAACCCTTCCGTGGATTGCTTTTCTGAGGAAAAAGAGCTCTACGAATATGTATCCACTTGAAAATGTTCTCATAATGAAAAAAACTTTTAATGCTAGTGCTCTTAAATGTATGTTTTTATTAAATTCAAGTTGAAATTTGACCATGGACAATGATTTTTATGGATTTTTAAATTTGGATACAATCTTAAGCCCAAAATTTTACAATAGCATAATTGTTTTTGAACATATGAGACAAATATATATAGAAATTTACCAGCCGTCAATGATTTTTATTTGTGGAAACAATTTTTTAAAATATTTTCCATATTTTACCATATTTTTGTGTTGATTTTTTAATATAATTTTTAATTTTCTCAAATTATGTCTAAATTTTCATAAAATAGGTACCTTTTAAAAAAAACCTAGGCTAACTCCTGTAATTACCATGCACCTATTTCTCATAGCCCTAAATGTGTTATTGCTTTATATTAAAAGTTTTGTATACACTTAGTTTCTTGTTGGGCAGTTATTTCATTATTTGTTCCAAATTTCTGGATATTCCAATGTAATCCTTTACATCCCATGTGCATCCCATGTAGCTATGTAATTATAGTTTGATTGTAAATTGTTGAATAATTGAGTTTCGATTTACTATCATTCTTATAAATTTTCACTTAGTATCAACATTTCTGAAATGCTGCAAATAATTTTAAAAGTGGTACAAGGCCAAATAATTTTATCTTTGTAAGCTGTACGCTAAATGCTTGTACATCAATCGTTCATGAATAACCATTAAATAGCATTTTTGTATTTCAGACATTATACAATAACAAAATATGTTGACTTTTCAAGTCAAAAATATTTCTGAATCAATATTATACAACACGAGGCATTTTTTACGTTCCCAAACAAAAATTCTCTTACTTTTGTCTACAAGAAGTTGGAACATACAATGGAATAGGAATATAAATATTTTAAACTTTTTTCTATTGGCCTCACTTTCATTTAATGGCTTCACAAAACATGAGAAGTCAAAAATGGTACCCGAAAGTAATTTGAATGACTAAAACAGTTTTTTGTTGTAATATTTCAGACAATTTTCTTTAAACTTAACTCTTATTTCTTTATTTTGTTTTCCAGTGTGGAGGTAAAAATATCCGTTTAGTTGTGATGAATAATTTATTGCCTTCCTGTATCAAACTGCATGAAAAATATGATCTGAAAGGTAATTTGTGAATTTAACATTTAATAATTACTGTAATTATTTAAGATGAAGAATTATTTGGTACTAATACATATATTATTTATGTGATATACATACATGTCATTTTTTTTTAAAGTTTTCTGTCACTCTTTAAAGACTTCTTATCTGCTACTTTCTGCTTCTCCGCAGAAGAATCTATGTTTACTTTGATAGCAAAATTTGTGCATTCATGCTCGATTCCTTTTTAATGAATTGATTTAATATTTAAACTACCATTAACATTCAAATATACAAAGACTTGACTGTTTATTGTGTTTTAAATCGTGCTGAAATGTGAATTAAGTAATTGTCTACAATATCACTTTATTAATTTTACTACCACCAGGAAATTTTTTTTAAAGATTGTAAAAGTTGGCAGATATGAGACCTTATTTTTTAAAAATCTTTTTCTTGTAAATACAGTACAGAACCCGTTATCCGGAAATCAGAAAACCGGAAAACCAAAAAACCGGAACGAAATTCGATAAATTTTCCCGCCATTTTAAAAAAAAAAAAGTAATTTTTCCTCATAAGATTTTAGGATTTTTCTTTCCTTTTTGAAAGATTTTCACCTTACCATCATTTTGGAAATAATCGTTAGTGTATTACTTCATCGTTTTTTCTTCTTTTTAAGATTATTTCCAAAAAAAAATTTTTTTAAGTTGGGTTTAACAATTAAAGAAACATCTTTTTGTAGCGATTCAGAAAACCGGAAAAATCAGTTATCCGGAATAGCGATGGTCCCAATCGTTCCGGATAATCGGTTCCCTACTGTACATGTCTGGTACCAACAAAAAATATATGACTGCTTTTAAACGAACCTCATCCGAAGGATTTCTCTTTTTTGTTTGAATATATATTTTGTTTGATAATATGTTTGATATTTTGTTTGAATATCATTGACGATAGCGAATCAAAAACTTGATTATACAAAATTTTAAGACTTATGCTAAATCCATTTAACAAGATGTTTACATACATGCGATTCTTCCGCCAATTCGATTCTTTTGGTTTGGCGAATTCTCGCCATTTTGAATCTCTGGAATCTTTTTTGCGATTTCAATATCATAGATCTTCGTATTTCTCTTCTCATTGGCACGACAGCCCAGGGTGGACCCTGGCCTTCTCAACAAGCCCATGCCAAGACATTCTTCCCTAAGCCAAGGCTCTCCAGTTTATTATCTTTAAAACTTGTAGGTCCTTTTCAAGGCAGTCTAAAAATCAAAAATCTTAGGTTTGGTCGTCCTTTTTTTCTTGTACTTGCTGGCCTGGCACTGAACACTTTTTTGGTTGTCCTGCTATCCTCCATTCTCACAATGTGGCCTGCCCATTTAATCCTTTGAATTTTGATAAATTGAATGACATCAGATTCTTGTAAAGTTCCGTGTTTGATCTTCTAAACCAGGTACCGTTTTTACTTATTCCACCAAAAATGCTTCGCAGTATTTTTCTCTCAAATCTAGCTATCATATTTTCATCTCCACGGGTCATTGTCCAGGTCTCATATGCGTATGTGAGCACTGATCGTATAAGATATTTATAGAGTAACACTTTTGTTTTTCTTTTTATTAGGCTTGACTTATATTTTTTGAGACCATAAAAACACTTATTGGCCATCGTGATTCTCGTGTGTATTTCTTGTGCAGTGTCATTTTTGTTGTTCATCTTAGAACACAAATAGGTAAAGCTATCAACGGCTTCGAATTTGTATGCTCCAATTTCAAACTGTGTTTCTTTATAGCCAGCTTTTGTGCAGGGCATATATTTAGTTTTATTTTCATTGATTCTTAATCCCATCTTAATGGCTTCCTTCTCCAGACATAAAAAGGATTGTGTTAGTGCTGTCTGCGTTCTAGCGATAATATCTAAATCATCAGCAAAAGCCAATATTTGAACTGATTTGTTGAAGATATTTCCTCGGATGTTGATGTTGATGTTTGAGTCCCTTACTTTTTTTTCTTCTAATACTAGATTAAAGAGGAGACATGCCAAGGCATCTCCCTGTCGAATACCATTTTTAATTTCTATTGGATGGGAAAGACAATTATGTATCTTGACCATGATTTTGGTTTCACTTAGTGTCAAGCTAATCAGCTTCACTAGTTTCTCCGGTATATTAAATTCTCTTAAGACTGATATTAGAGTTTTTCAGTTAATACTATCATAAGCTGTTTTAAAATCAATAAACAGATGGTGCGTGTCAATACCAAATTCTATGTTAAAAATTTGCTCTGAGGTGGATCGCCCCTTCCTGAATCCAGTCTGATAATCTCCAATTATATTGTCGACAAGTGGGGAGAGTCTTTTGAAAAGGATGTTAGAAAATACTTTATAACTTGTACAGAGCAGGATAATTCCTCTGTAGTTTGAGCAATCCAGCATATCTCCTTTCTTATGTATCGTACAGGTCATGCTGGTTTTCCACTCTTCAGGGATTAATTCTTCGTATTTACCTGTTTTGAAAGTTATGCATTGAGATTATTATTCACGTGATTTAAAAATCCCACATAACGATTCCTATTTGCGAGATTTAAAAATCCAATATCATAATATCTAAGTGATGGGGGAAAAAAACCCACCTTATTTGAAGGAATTGAAATTATCACTGTTTTCTTTTCTTGTCATTTTAGTCATTATCTAGTCTTCTAAATGTTTTTAGAATGTAAGTAATAAATTAAAAAAAGATATCTTCAATTTCAAACAATTTTAATGCAAATTGTAGCAATTTTGAAAATTGAAATTTTGAAGGAAAAAGAAAGTAAAAGCTGAGAGTAATTATGATAGCTTGAGAGTAATTACTTAGAATGTCTTTTATTTTGTTAACAATCAATATATATATATTTAAATTTGTTTTCTAGGGAGTACCTACAAGCGGAAAGCAAATAAAACGGAGCGTAAAAAATCCTCTCCAACATTTAAAGATTTGGACTTCATAGATCACCATAATGAAGGAATTTTACTTGAACATGACACCTACAATGCATTGATCAAGACAATGCAAAGAGATTGCAGAGTAATTTTTTCCTTTTTTTACCCTCTCCCATTTGAATGGTTAATGAAGTCCTATTAATATTAGTAAAAATGCACAGAAATAATTAAATCTTGGGCCAGTGTTACCTCAGAAGGAAATATGTTTCTTTCAGGTTACAAAAATAAGACTGTAAGAAACTGGAGAAAATATTAGTTTGTTAAAAATGTTCTGCAACTCTTGTGAACATTTCAACTTTAAGAATTTTCATTTTGTGTTGTTGTTTTTCGGTGTTCTTAGTGTAAACTTTCATCAATAAGCTCTAAATGACTTTGGATGAAACTGAACGTCGGGCTTTGATTCGCTATTGCTATAAACGAGATCTTTCTGGAAGGGCGTTGCGAAACTTTTTTAACAACCTAATAGTAGGAACTAAAAATGATCAATACAATTGTTCAGCAATAAGTTTTAAAGGAGTAGCTTAAATATAAACAAATTAAATTTAATGTAGTATTAAAAAGTAAGAAACTCGTTTAGAAATTATGTTTATTTTCATATTTAGTTGTATGGAAAATTTTAAAATCTATATGTTTAAGTTTGAGGGATTTACAAAATTTGCATTCTATTTTTAATCGTGGATTTAATGTTTTTTTTTTAGCAGTGTATATGTTAGTTGGTAGTATATGCTTAGTTTGTTAATTCAGCGTTGTTAATAAAGATTTTATGATGTTGTTTTAACAGATTATATAATTATAAAATAAGATTTCATAAAATACAGAAACAGTGTTGCTACGCTACCTAGAAAAGTAAGGGTGTTTGGAAATTGACTGAAAAATCAGGGAATTTTTATTGAAAATCTGGAAATGTCAGGGAGTTTAGTTTGACTACCGTGAAACTTGTGGCCTTTGCTTTTACTATGCGTTCACATTTCTTATGCAAGAGTTCCCTTGTTTGACAAGAAACCAAATTTTACAGGTTTTGTGCCTCAATTATTTTTTTGGTTTTGGTGCCTCAGTAAACTTTCAAATGATAGAATGCATAACGGATGGATTATACTACACATTGTCTATTCCTATTTTTTATTAAGAAATTTACTAGGATTGTATTTTTATTATCTCGTATAAATTACGAATATTTTTCATTGTCAATTTTCTTAATCCTCTATCATTACCGAAATTATGCATCGTTGGTGTCAACAACAGTATGGTGACTTTTTATGGTACCACCCCATAATGAAATAGTTCCATTTCTCCATTAATTTTGTTTTTCGGTACAAAACTTTTTTTAAAAAATTTATTTCAATTACCGATGATTTTTAATTATTCGAGTTCTATAAAAACAAGTTTTAAAAGCATAACTAAAATAAACACGATGGTGTCAAATTACCATGGAAATATTAATTTGGTGATTTAGTTTGCATATGCTACCACAATTATGTTAATCATTCAGATAATCTTGCATAGCAAAAAAATAATAATAAAGTATAACAGAATGTGCAAATAACATCTTTTTTTTATTACTTTTTTTAATTTTATTTTATTATAACATAGCAAACGTAACTGATGATATCTTTAAAATATTTGAAAAACTGAATGGTCTATAACTCATTTTAAAGCACTGGTTTCCGCTAAATGAGCGAGAAAATTCCAATTTTTTTAACTGTCACTGTGTTTAAAATATAATTAATGAATTGTAAATCAGGATTCTTATTCTGTGTTTACAATTTTACACATTTAGATTCATTTTGAATCTCACATTCTTAGAGCTTACTGTATACCCTTAATCTGGTTTACAATCAGTCAGGTGGACATAAGCAGAAATTCTTTATTTTATTATATATATAGATTATTTGCTGTCCTTCGCCATGAATTGACGTTATTAGATTAATCAAAGCACATTTTTAGCGAAATAAAGGCTTACTGCATTATTCAGTATTATCTGGCACAATGCTGTTTCTCAAAATTCTCATGATAATGAAAATTTACCATATACAAGCTGCTTTCTCCTGTACTTATATCTTCGAGGGGCTGTGAAAAATCTTTTATAAAACTGCACATTATTGATGTCAATAATATTATGGCGGCTTTTTACATTATCCTGTAGCGAATAAGTATATTTTCTCCACCAATTAAACTTTTTAGTACATTGCTTGTTTCTTGTTTCAATTAGTACCTATTACCTATTTTTCCCTTGATTTTTTACTTAAATTACCATTAATTTTAAATTATTTAGCTTCATAAATATCCGCTTTAAAAGCATAGCAATAAACAAAATGCCTCGTTTCAGATAACCTTAAAAATATTAATCTGACAATGCAAATACTTATCAGATGACGAAAAAAAATTTAAAAAATTCTTTTTTTTCTCTCCATTTTGTAGTGAGTAGTATTTGGCAACTTATAAAAAAAAAAGTAGATTTGAATATCTTAAAAATTTAAAAAGTTTCAAGCAATCTTCTAAGTAGTCTTCTTATTCTTTAATAGAATGCTCAAGATAAAAAGGGTTTTCCAATTATACCAATAGAAAAAAGCTCACCAGTAATAGATTTTGAATAAATTGTTAACAAATTGTCAAAAACAAAAATATTTAAAACGAAAATTCATGTATCATAATAATGTATTAAAATTTGAAAACCAACATTGAAAGGGCAAAAAAAAATACGTATTGCGTATAGTGTGTGTCAAAGTGATTATTCAATCACAAAATTTTAATGTCTTAATAATATATTTAAAATATCAGATGCTTTTAAACCTTATTGCAAAGACTTAAAAATTATAAGTAACTGTAAAAAAATGATTATACAACATGGATTTAAGATAAAATTGCTGTGAATTGAATGCAATTCAAACTTAAGTATGAAATTTGTGTGTCTTAATAACTTTGTATAAAAAAATAATTTAAAAAAATCAATGTGGAAGTAGTTTTGAAATAAATTATAATAAGAGGTTATATAGATTGTAAAGCTCTGTTTAGAACTAAAATAAATAGAAAAGAATCATTTCATTTTTAAAAAATTAAATATAAGAAATTTTACTTCTTTATTCTACATAAAATTTTATTTGCCTCCATTTGAACTATTCATTAAATAGTTATCATTAAACAATTATATTTTTTAATTTTTAGTCTCTTCCGTTTTTGCAGTTTCTCCCAGTGTGTTTTAAAAAATAGATTTCTTTCAAACAACAGGGTTACCACTCCACAGGGAAAATCTGGAAAATACAGGGAATTTACAAATCTCCTGAAATAACAGGAAAAATGAAAGAAAATTTCTTTTTTTTTTCTTTACAATTTGGTACTAAAATACTGAGAATTTTGTTTCTTAGTTTTGTTTAAAAAATGGATATCTGCGCACCTGGAAAGTCCTGAATTTCGGTATTGAACAAAATTTTTCAGGTTATGATTTTTGCTATTTTTTTAAAAAAATCATGGAAAGTCCTGGATTTAGGTCTCTGAAAAATCTAATTTTTAAAATGGAATCTCCCTCTCCCCAATTTCATCCTGTTCCAAACATCTGAATTTCTAACAAAATCACCACTCAGTCATATTTTATTTGAGTATAAAATAATTTTATCATGTTCTTTAAAAATTATGGTGTTCTTTCAAAAAATGAACGAAAAAATATCATATCTAGAGCGAATTATCCTTTAAACTCTCTTCTGTGATTTAAGAATTTTTATTATTATTATTTTTTTTAAATTTTATCAATTTAAAATTCTAGTTGAATCAAGCCAGTTATTGGCGAATTTTTTTAATTCCGAAATGAACAGAAAAATCAGGAGTATTTCTTTCCTTTCTGATGAACAAGAAAAATATCTTTAGAATATAATTCTGCAGAAAAATTTTTTTTTAGCTTTTGTGTTTTTTTCAACTATTTTATTGTTTCAACTCTTTCTTTACTCTGTTTTTTAAGTTTAAAATCTATAAATATGAAGATGAAGAGTATAATAGTTTTGGTTATGCCTATTTCGAATAATGTTATTATAATGCTTTTTTTAATTTATTGTTGCGTTTTTGTTGGAGAAAATAGCAATTTCGTTAAGTCATGAAAAATTCTTGGAATTAGTCATGGAAAATCATGAAAAGTCATGAATTTGAAAATCTAAAATGTAGCAGATACCCTGTCTATGGGATATTTAAGGATGATGTTCCAACTATACTAAACTATTTCATTTACTACTATAGCATTATCTAAGCTGTTTTCCCAGCCATTAAAACTAGCCCACTATAGCTGACACAAGAGCACGGTAATTGTTGTTTCCTCTTAATATAGTGTGTATAATATGTAGAGGGTAAACAAAGATAATTTTTTTAAAAACTAGATTTGAGTGGCAACCCTGAACAAAATGCTATTCCTGATTGTAATTAAAACAGACTATTTAGAATGAAATCTCATTTTTTTAGGTTCTGGAATCATTTAAAATAATGGACTACTCTTTATTGGTCGGTATTCACAACATTCATGCTGCTCACAGAGAAAGGGAGAAACATTTGGTGAGATGATTTCATTGATATCTAATAAATTAATATTTAAAGAGATACTATATGTCAAATTGTTATTCTGATACACCATCTGGTCGAAAGTATCCGGACACCCGGTTGTTGTGGTGGAAGCATAATGGTGTGGGGGTGTTTGTCGTAGTTTTAACTCGGTTTGTCAGTTCCGGTGATCGGAAACACGAACTCTGAGGGACAATGTTGCACTCCCTTCTCTATGGCAATATTTCCGGCCCATTTCTCTTCCAGCTTCACACAGACGTGGTTTGAGGAAATGGATGTTTGAAAACTGGGCTGGCCTTCGCAGAGCCTCGTTCTAAATCCCATAGAACATCTCTTGGGCGGGTGGCATATTACATAGTCGTCCTCACTACAAGCATTCAGTGATGGAAAACTATTTGAATCAAAAGCTTGTGGAAAGTGTGCAATTTAGTATATTAGGCAACAATTAGCATGAAATTTATATTTTGTGAAATCTACTGGATTTTTTCCTGTGTATGTTAGCAACTATGTTTACAGTGCAGTGATCTTGTTTGTGTTGTTATTTAGAATAATTGTTTTATGTTTCCAGGTTCAAATTTATTCTTTATTTGATGTAACTTATGATAACAACAGAGTGGATTTTTGTCTTTAAAAATTTATAAAAGTTTTAAGCTTGAAAAAAAAAAGTTACTTATTTAGTAAGTAATTTGTAATAGTTATAAAATTTAGTTATAGAATAAGTTATCTAAGTTATCATTTAATAAAAAGTTTAAATTAATATTATGTATTATTAATTCATTTTACCTGAGTTTGGTTTGGTAAATGTAAAAAAAATCTGATTTAAATCCAAGTTATTTATTTATTTTTTAAATTATAATTTTTGCCAGTCCTGCATTTTTTTTTCTTTTCATAATCTTTAGAAATTTCTGTTTATTTGTATCTTCTTAAATTTTTTATTTATTTATTTATTATTTTTTTTATAGGAACAATACAGAAAAGATCAGGAGGAAGATAATGGTAATTCCCCTCCTTTTTAACATGATACGTATGATAAAGTTTAATGTAGATTTAGTCTAAATTTGTGTTCTTTTTAGAATTAATGACCAATGTGGATTGTTGTGCTTAAAATGCTTGTATTATACATATTCATAGCATTGAATGAGAATCCTTTTTTATTCTTTAATTTTGTTTTGATTGCAAACTCTAAACTATTAAATATAAAGTGTCAAAAAATGACTTGTCTTTTGTGCGGTAACTCAGTTTGAGCAGTTTAATTTTTGCAACAGAAAACAATGCAATTTTTGTCCAGAACATTGAAAGATTTTGCAACTAACCAAGCAACAATAAGTTGCTAATGAGGCATAATTTTGATTGACCCAAAAGTAAACAAGTTTTAAATCCTTTTTTATGAATTCTTTTAATAATTCTACAGCCAGATGGATAATTTTCTTTAACTTATTAAAAATAAGAAAAAATACTCTGTTTACAATTCCCTGTTTCAAAAACTATCAATAACATATAAGCTTTCTTTTAAACTGAATTTGATCTGAATCACTTGTAAGATATGCGAAGACTTTATTAATAAGCACTACAGTAACACTCGGTAAACTCAGTAACGCTATTAATTCTTTTGCAGATAGCTCAAAAATATTCTGCCACAGGGATGTGTGTAAAATAATTATGCATGTTTTTTTTTAGCTTCCCCCGTCCAGCCGGTTCAGTCGGATAAAGGAGGTGGTGGTGTGGGTACAAGTTTAGTTCGAAGCAAGTCCATAAACAAGCAGAGGCTTGCTGCATTTTCAACAGCAATGGAATCCATCCAAGCCGAAACAGAAACAGCAGATGAAAGAGATGATGTCCCGTAAGTTTTCTTCCAACAATATTGGACTAAAGCAATTTTTAAAAAAGATGATTTTATTTAAACATGTTTTGTGTAAACCTAAGAACAATATCGATTTAATATCTGGCCTTTTGAATAAATTTTTCATACATAAAATTCCTTTCAACCAAATGCTCAGGGTTGCCACTTCACAAGAAAAACTTAGAAAATACAGGAAATTTAAAAATTGCCTAAAATAACGGGGGAAATGCAGAGAACTTAGATTTTTCTTTACAATTTAGGAAAATACATGGAAATTTGGTTTTTACTTTACAAACTGGTAAGATACAGAGAATTTTGTTTCTTATTTTTGTCTTTTAAAAAATGGTGGTCAAAGCTTAATCTATGGGATATTTAACCATGATATTTCAGCTATCCTAAACTTTATTTAAGTATGTTCAGCTGTTTTCCTAGCAATTAAAACTAATAAATATAGTTAGCCCAATATAGCTCACACAAGAGCACAGTAATTGTTGTTTCCTCTTAATATAGTGTGTATAATGTGTACAGGGAAAAAACATAAATTTTTTTTTCCAGATTTGAGTGGCAACCTTGATGGTTTCATAAAAAAATGAAATATTAATGCTTGACCTTTTTTTTTTAATAACCAGCCGTTGAACAGTTGAAACAATTTTTCAGTTTACCATTGTAAATGTTAAAGTCTGTTCCTTGTAATTTTGAACCCAACTCAATATGTAAGGAAACTGTTGGATCACGCATTTGGGGCAACTAGTCTTTGGTGAAATTGCCACGCGTTGAAGGAAACTGCAAAATTCTCCCATGGTTACTTCCAACAGCTAGAGGATTTTAAACCTTTATCTGTCTGCCACTGAGGATATTTTACCTCAGAGCTGTGGTCAGTGCCAGTCAGGAATAAAAAAAATTTTTTTGATCATCCATCACTGGGAGGCAAGCCCTCTATATTCCCCAGCTACCTCTGTTCAACCATAACTAGCTCTAGAGTAAATTTTTTGAGGTTGCTTGGAGAATCTACAGAATGCTTATGTTATAAATTTCTTTTAAACTTAAGTTTTTGTTAATATTTTTTCACAATTAATGATTGCATAAACAGTAACTCAATTTACCATTTTAATATATTTCATAATATATTAACATATATTTTCTGTCACAAAACTTCTTATTGATGCTTACTTATGGTAAAAGTTCAGGGCTTCAAGTGCTGCGCATTTTGCTCCAAATCGGTATATTTGCGCATTACTGCGCAGAAACGACATTTTATGTTAAATTTGCGCCGAATCTGCGCCAAAAATGTTTTGGGGACCAACTAAACATTGCCAAATTTTAATAGCAAAAGAAAAATTTTTCTCTTGTTGATTTCATCGTTATTGATGTACCATCGTCTTCGTCAATGGAAAGCTAATGGCCTTCTTGCGCTATTCTATTTATAGATTAGTACCATGATCCTTGAATTAACTAGGGGACCATCCACTAAGTACATAATTTCATGTTGATCCTCAGAACAGTCAAGAATCACAAAGCTTCATAACCTCAAACTTTCTATCTCCGTTTTATTCANTCGAAGACAGAAAAAAGTTCGTTATATCCAACTTCCTCACTTTTTTGGTTCACTATATCCACTAAAAATAACATTATACGTGTATAGCAAGGCACGGGACCGAGCATTTCGTTCACTATATTCGGGAGTTTACTATAAACCATGTTCACTATAGCGGGATTTGACTGTATTATGGTTATGAATAACTAATATATTGTGACAATAAGTTTTAACACCCTCACCCAAAACAGATAAGTGGATTATCAGGGGTCTGTCCAGACATTTTGTGAAAGGTCCGTTTTTCGTGAAATTGTGAAAAAATTACTCGCATTCTTTCTACCAGGGTTCGCTTTTATGAATATGAATTAGTTTGTGCAAATAGGGTCCGGTTATTGCAAAAAACTTTTTCAAGGAGTTTTTAAATTGTAAACAGATGCCAAGATTATGCTCGGCACTGTGAAATTATAATTAAAAAAAATAAAATTTTAAAAAATAAACAGCAATTGCTGCTTCTAAATTAGAGATGCAACATACAAATATTGGGTATTTAGCCCATACCGCTGAACGCAGAATATTAATTTCGGGCGAATAATTGAAGAATCGTCTGCCGAAGACAAAACTTAATTCGTTTACATCCATCTTTCTTGTTTTTTGCCCTGGGAAGGGTTTATTCGATTAACAAAATAATAATGAAGATCAAATTTGTGAAGGGTCCGGTTAAAAGAAAAATCATTTTGTGAAGTGTCTGTTTTTATGGAAATAATTTCTTCTAAATTCCAAATTTCTTCTAAACAGACCCCTGATTATAAGGAAATCTGGGAATAATACACTAGTAATTCAAAATGAATATAACTATTTAATGAAAAATAATTTATTGCTAAAATTTACAAAGAATGTGTTTGAAGTTTCTTTACATTTGGCGCAGGGAAGTAGAGCGAGTTTATTAGTAAACATGGTGAGCCCGTGTGTGTGTTTCCCAAAATAATTGAAGAATTTGTTTGTAATACTAATATTACTGCGCAAAATGCTTCAGAATGTATGGCGTGAAATGGACTACCTCCTTCTCATGCCTCCATGTTGTGATGGCTCTGTGATTAAGTGTATAAGATATGTAAGAGTTCTGGCTGTGAAGTAAAGACGTTCTTTTTGTAGGAGTCTGAGAAATAATTGCTTGGAACAGTGCGATATCACAGCAAGCATGGATTGGTTCAGCATTTGGAGCATTTACTTTTTTTTGTGAGCTGATATGAATGCACATAATGAGAGTTTAAATACACCTTGACATGTATGTGCTGTTAACAATCAATAAAGTTGTGCAAGGGTACTTCTTTTTAGAGGTGCTGATAAAAATGCTCTTAACTACGCAAATCAAAATCCTTATCAGGTTGGTGTAATAGCTGGTAATCTCAACCTTGGCGAGCTTATTCGAAATCACAATCCAGAAGATGAATCGCCATACGGAGAAATGCCTGTATGTAACTCTCGAAAGAGAGGGTGCTGTATTATTGCACTGTCCAAATAATAATTTCTCAGAGTCCTAGACTCCTACAAAAAGAACATCTTAACTTCACAGCCAGAACTCTTACATATCTTTATTCACTACTTCTACACTTGTTCACCGCTCCATCAGAACATGGAGGCATGGCACTCCAAGATGTTGTCTGTGTAACCAAATCACGTAAAAAATCTGTGACGCATGTATGCAAGTTCCCTCAACATTCTGTGTAAATTTTATCCATAAATTCTTTTTCGTTCAATAGTTATATCTATTTGTAATCACCTTTGTCCTCTTGAATTACCCTGCATATTAAAAACGGAATAAAGTGTTTCTTACCTTCTTTCATACCTGATAGTGTACCTGCAAAAAAAAATTATAAAGGAGAAAGCTTATTCCTCTTTTTGAGAATGATATATTAAAAGCAAACTAAAGATTTTTTTTTAACCTTCTTTCAGACCTGGTGGTATACCTGCAAAAAATTGTAAAGGAGAAAGCTTATTACTCTTTCTGGGAGTCATTGACATCCTCCAAAGCTTTAGATTAGCAAAGAAGCTTGAACACACCTTAAAATCTGTACTACATGATGGTGTAAGTTGTTCTTTCCATTCATTTACATAAACTTAGAACAGCGACTTGAAAACATTCATTTAAAAATAAACCTTTACAGGTTGAGACTAAAGACTTTGAGCAAGGTTCAAACAGATACCTTTAAAAGCTCTTGATTTTTCCCCCCTCTAATTTTCAATGTCTTAAAATTAAAACCTTCAATGATTTTTTTAATCAAATAATATACATTATTTTCTTGATAATTTTTAAATATTCCACTTAAATTCAAATTAAATTTACTAAAACAATAAGAAAATGTTTAGAAGCATATTTCACGTAGTTTATATCACTTCCCAAAAACTTCTTTTAAATTTATTTTTAAAGAAAATATTAAAGTTCCAAAAGAAAAATCCAACGCAAATAACCCATCTTCTAATTTAAAACAATATATTTTTTTTAACCTTACAGTTTTATAAAAAGAGATCTCTGACCAGTACTAAGTCCCAGCGATTCTCTCTGCAGCCAAATTTTGTTTGTTAGTTGTATGAACAGGGTATCCACGTACTGGGAAAGTCACGGATTTTGCTATTGAAGAAAATTTGTCATGATTTTAACTAATTTTTTTTTTTAAAAAAAATCATGGAAAGTCATGGATATAGGTTGCCGAAAAATCTAATTTTTGAAATTGAATTTACCTCCCTAATTTCACGGTGTACCGATTATCAGAATTTGTAACAAAATCGCCACTCAATGTCACATTTTATTAAAGTATTAAATTTTCTTATGATGCTCTTTAAAAATGATGGTGTTCCTTCAAAAAATGAATGAAAGAACATAATTTCTAGCTCGAATCGTATTTTAAACTTCGTCGATTTCTGAATTTTTTTTATTTATTTATTTTTATTTCATCAATATAGAAATCTAGCTGAATCAAGCCATTCATTTGCGAATTTTTTTTTAATTTTCAAAAATCAGGAGCATTTCTTTTTCTACCAGTCAGCAAAAAAAGTATCTTTAAAGTATAATTCTGCTTTAAAAAAAAAGAAAAAGGATTTTTTAATTTTCCAAAAAAAAAAAAAAAAAAAAAACCCTCTTGTCTTTCTGCAAGAACTCAATTGCTTTCTGCAACAATGTCACCCGTGATTCTGAAACGGGGCTTTGAGAGTTTCCAGCAATGATATCCAGTGGTTAAGGGCTGATGCTGCTTACTTGAGCAGATAAAGGAGAATTATTAAATTTATTGTTTTCGTCAGAGAAAATCGTATCTACGCTAAGTCATGAAAAATTCTTGGAATTACTCATAGAATGTCATGAAAAGTCTTGGATTTGAAAATCTAAACTGTAGTAAATACCCTGTATGAGTATCTCCATATTTTACATTAGGAAAATCCATAAAAAAATATCCTTTGAACCAGAAATACTCCCATGTTGATCTTTCTATGAGAGCAAAGAAAACTACTCTTTTTAACAGGAAAATGATGGTGACATGCAATTGGTCTTTTCTTTTAAGTTAATCAATCATGTGAGATCACTCATGTTCAAATTTAGAGTATGCACAGCTGCCAACTCTACAGGATTTTCCAGCAGACTACTGAATTTTGACAGTTTTTCTCGGTCTACTGGTTTATTAAAAATTCTCCTGGTTTTTGTACATTTTAAGAAAATTTACTAAAAAATCCCTATTGAAATAGCATTTTTGATCACATTAGTGAGGCTCAATTATAGAAATCAGTTTAAAACTTTTTTTGTTCTAAAATGGTTTTTTTATTTTATTTTTTTACATTTCCCTTTTTAAATTAATTTAAAAGTCTAACTATCTTTGATTAATTAAATGCCTATTACTGTTTAAAATTATGAGTAAACATAATAAGCATTTCATGTTCATTTAGTGTTAATTATAAATGAAAAATATTAAATTTTTTATGTTTTGATGACCATGAAAATCCCTAAAATTCCCTATGTGTAAAATATTTTGTACATTATGAAACAATTATCATGAAATTTATATTACTTCCTAAAGTCTACTGAATTTTTTTTCTATCATTTAGTAAAATATTTTTTGTTGTATTACATTAATTTTGTAGTATAGTTTTTCCAAATAAAAAGGAATAATTCAGTTAGATGAGATGAACTTTCCCATGACTTCTGCCCATTTTCTTTTCTTTTTTTCTTCACAGTGCTTCTAGTTCAAGCCCCCCTTGGCATCAATTCCCTTTGTTAACTGCTAGTATTGGAATTTTTTTATTAAATATTTTCTTTTCAATCAATGCGAATTAATAAAACTGATTTAATACGAACTTTTTGCGTGCCACTGCATGTACCATACATACATTTGCCATCTCTGCCTTACATCCTAGAATTGTTTCTTCACTTTTTCATTATTTTAATAACAAAAATTTCTTTATTTAGGATACTGTGTCTGTTCATAGGCCCAGTTTTTACAGTCAGAGATTTCTACAATTTATGAGCAAGACTGTATTTAAGAAAATGCCTTCAAGTGAGTTCATACCTTTTTATTATTCATCATTAAATATGGTTATTAATTTATTTACAATTATTTAGGCAGTTCATGTTTTTTCAATGCAAATTAATCATAGGTGAAATTTGATGTTAATCTTGGATTTATTAATTCTGAAATGATCTGATAAAAATTAGTTCTGTGCACATGAGCTGCTATTGCTGGATGGTTATGGCCATCATTTGTGCTTCTGGTAATGGTTTGAAGCCCACCCAGCTTCGGATCGATTGGTCCCACCAGTTTCTCTGAAAAGTAAAGGCAACCAGTGCATAATGCTGACTACATTGTCACCATCATGCCGTTGGTCACTAAATTGTGAGGTCTTAGCTTTCACGACCTCCGCCTGTCGTGGGAATGCTTTGCTTTTTTTATATGTATATGTTTTTAGAGTAAAGCAAATATTTAATAAACTGTTTTTCAGTAGTAAGTTGACTTGTAAGGCATTTTCTATTGACAAGAAAATTAAACTATAACTTAATAATATAATAGGTTAAAAAATATATTATGAATTTAAAAAAAAATAAATAAATAAATAAAAAAAACAAATCTGAAACATAGCACTTTTTTTTATTTTGCAATGTTCATTATTTTTTTTATTATTACCCATCCAGTTTTTTTTTTAAACAATTTTTTTTTTTTTTTTTTTTTTTTTTTTTTTTTTTTTTTTNTTTTTTGAAAAACTTTGTTGTTTAAAATATTTTAATAGCATATGAATAAAAAGCCCTTTTTTATTTTGTTAAATACATTTGTGTATTCTCTTTATATTACCAATCAATTTTTTTTTTTTTTTTTCTTGGTTNTAATAAAACTGATTTAATACGAACTTTTTGCGTGCCACTGCATGTACCATACTTACGTTTGCCATCTTTGCCTTACATCCTAAAATTGTTTCTTCACTTTTTCATTATTTTAATAACAAAAATTTCTTTATTTAGGATACTGTGTCTGTTCATAGGCCCAGTTTTTACAGTCAGAGATTTCTACAATTTATGAGCAAGACTGTATTTAAGAAAATGCCTTCAAGTGAGTTCATACCTTTTTATTATTCATCATTGAATATGGTTATTAATTTATTTACAATTATTTAGGCAGTTCATGTTTTTTCAATGCAAATTAATCATAGGTGAAATTTGATGTTAATCTTGGATTTATTAATTCTGAAATGATCTGATAAAAATTAGTTCTGTGCACATGAGTTGCTATTTATTGCTGGATGGTTATGGCCATCATTTGCGCTTCTGGTAATGGTTTGAAGCCCACCCAGCTTCCGATTGATTGGTCCCACCAGTTTCTCTGAAAAGTAAAGGCAACCAGAAAAGTAAAGGCAGTGCTGACTACATTGGTCACTAAATTGTGAGGTCTTAGCTTTCACGACCTCCGCCTGTCGTGGGAATGCTTTGCTTTTTTTTATATGTATATGTTTTAAGAGTAAAGCAAATATTTAATAAACTGTTTTTCAGTAATAAGTTGACTTGTAAGGCATTTTCTATTGACAAGAAAATGAAACTATAACTTAATAATATAATAGGTTAAGAAATATATTATGAATTTAAAAAAACAAAACAAAAAAACAAATCTGAAACATAGCATTTTTTTTTATTTTGCAATGTTCATTATTTTTTTCATTATTACCCATCCAGTTTTTTTTTTAAACCATTTTTTTTTTTTTTTTTTTTTAAAAACTTTGTTGTTAAAAATATTTTAATAGCATATGAATATANTTTTTTTTTTTTTTTTTGAAAAACTTTGTTGTTAAAAATATTTTAATAGCATATGAATATAAAGCCCTTTTTTATTTTGTTAAATACATTTGTGTTTTCTCTTTATATTACCAATCTAGTTTTTTTTTTACCTTGGTTATTTATTTAAAATGTGTTCATAACATATTAATGGAGGGCCTCTTCTTTTTCTCTTTTATATCTAATGGTATTTGTCTTTTTGCCTCTTATTTTTTGCTGCCCCGGACGTGACACATCAAAACAGCTGGTCAGCATCGTAAATTTAAGACCATGGTCACTAGTGTTCTAGGTATGAATTTCAAACAAAAAAAATATTGGTGTTTAGTGTCTTGCTTAGTGAATGCATTCTGAAGTAATCATTATATTTTGTCATTCACTTCCAAAGATAAAAAACTCCCTCTTTTTTTTTTTGATGGATCTGTGACCTTCTGCATGTTTGATGTAGTGATTCATACATAACTGTAATTTATGTTGCAATTCATACTTGTAATTTGTATTTTATTGTTGATCTTCAGTTTAATTGTTTTATGTGAGTTTTGTGAATAAAATTCATTTTCATGTAAACAGAATACAGAACAATACTCTATGAACTTTCAGAACAATATTCTATGATATTAAATTGCGTTATTGGGCCTTTATAAGACAGAGGGAAGTAGCCTTCCTACGGTGGTTCTAAAAAATATTCAAACATAAAATTACTAGAAGAAAATTACATTAAAAAATGATAATGAAGATGCTGTAGGTGGAACTTGCAAGTTGTAAATACTTTGGATTATAACCATATTATGTCTTCAATTTAATTTAAAGTACTTTTGATAAATGTCTGAAATAATTGTTGTTTTTTTTACTCTTCAGAATTTATGACTCAGGAATAATGAATCTTTTTCTTAAACTCTGTTTCTTGATCTTTCACAAAATGGAGCAAATTTTTCACATTTTTATTTTAATAGGGGCACTTAATTCATTGCATGTTTTAAATAATCACTTATTCCTGAGACTTGTAGTATTTATTTTGGTTTTAAAGCGTGCATGCCTCACTGTTGTTTTGATGTTCATTTTCAAAAACAAAGGATCGTAAGTATTGAGTGAAAAATGACAGTCTTCTCGACTTAATTGCATATCGAATAGTCTGCTTATACTTATAAATTTAGTGGGACTAAATTATTTGCTATGTGAACTTTCCATGTTTAAACAATTCAACTCTTTGCTTTATTGCCAAAAAAAAAAAGAATCAACAAATTATTTTTTTTTAAATTGTTATCGCCAGCTAGAATGAAATTTTCAGTGAAGAAGATGAAACTATAATTCTGGGTCGTTTTAAAAAGTCCTGCTCCAAAATGGAGTCAGGAAGAAGTTTTAACAGATGTATAGTAAATGATCCTCTTTCATAAAATATGTGAAGGTAAATAATCAATAAAATATGTGTAGGTAAGACATAGAGAAATGTGTGTCAGAACTGTCAACTACTAATTTCTTTGGCAGTAAATAAATTGTATTGCAGTATGTGGGTTAAACTTTACACTTGCATTTATTTTTATATAAATTAAAATAATATTTATATTCCAATTTATGGATCATTATAATGAGTTAATTCTTTCCAAAAATTATATTGAAAGATTTTGCGGATTATACTCGATGGTGTAAATGAGAATTATAATTGGAGATGATTTAACTTTGAACTGTACAAGATCACATTATATACAACCCGATATTATTAAATACATTAAAATAAATAGAAGGAATTGGATGACCTACGTGATTTGAATGTGGGATGACAATAAAATTTTTAAAAGAAATATTGCTTTTTACACCCTCAGGAATATTGACGTGGGGAAGGTCTCAGTTGAGAAGGGCTGATTCGGTGGAGTCTCATACTTTTGCAATGAATGAAAAGAATTGGGGGATCAAAGATTAGTCTGAAGTCGTTAAGAACCCGCTTTTTTAAATATTGGAACCTTTATAAAGAGCTGACTGTACAAATTGTTTTTTTTTTATTTTTTAAATATAGCAAATAGCCAGTTTACTTTATGCTTTTGATGTTGCTCAGTTAGAATTGTGGGAGAAATAATTTGTATAAACAGTGAAATCTAATTGTACTTACTCAAGGTGCGTAGCTTTTTTAAAAAGTATATATATATTTATATATATATAGTAAACACAGCCCGTTTATTATTTTAAAGAAGTAACATATATGTTTGATCTATTTGTACACTACATGTGGAAAATATCAAATCAATATCTTAAAAGCTGACAAAAGCAATTAAATTAAAGGGAACAATGGATTTATTATCTCTTACCTATCAAAAATTATATAAAAATTTTCTCTACAAATGATTTACAAATTACAAATTTCTCCAAATGATGCACATTTTCAAACAACTGAACTGGAAAACACTATTTCGGAGAGCCAGGTGTATTTTTACGTGTTCAAACGTGAATGGGTTGGGGTTTAATCTTTACACAGTGGTCCCTTCCGAGTGATTTTTGGTATGTCCCTTTTATGACTGAAACTTTTTATTTTGAAGATTTGACAATATTTGAATTTTGTTTTCATTGCGTACTTTGGAAGAATGGAAAAGTGTTTTGAGAGAAAATAAGAATTGTTGCTTATTTTCACCTCCGTTAAATCGGATTACCAATTTCGTAGTATCAGTATTTTAATCCATTGTTTCTATGGGGATGCGGAAAATATTCGTTACATTGAAATTTTTGCTGAAGCGGGGTTTGACTGTAATTGGAACTGACTGAGGAAGTGATGTAAGACCAGGGGTCTGCCCAGGCCGAATTTACTACCGTTTAGCGGTTCCTTCACAAATTCAATTTTAGGTGAAACGGTAGTTTCACAAATTCAACTTTAGGAAAAACGGTAGTTTCACAAAATACTTTTTCTTAAAATTTTATTTTTGTATCCTTTAAGAAACGATAAATCTATATTTTTACCATGTTTTTGTATTGATTTTGTAATATAATTTTTAATTTTTCACAAATTATGTCTAAATTTTCACAAAATAGGTACCTTTCAGAGAAACCTAGACAGACCCCTGAAGACAAAAGGCATTTATTCGGTATCATATGACTAACTTGAATATTTGTAATTATAGGAAAAACATATTCATTTATCTGCAGCTCCTTCTAAAAATATGAATATATATCAGACTTTTTCTTTTTGTATTGAAATTTTTTTTTTTTTAATGTTTAAATTCATTTCAGATGTAAATAGTTATTATAGATTATTCAATTATTTTTATATCAGTGCAATTATTCCATAAAAAAATTATGTTAGTATCTTCCTGTAAACGATCAACTCTCATAGGTGGACAATTTTTTCAGTCCCTAGAGCGTCTGCTTAACCGAGGTTTCACTTTATATAAAGAACTTTCTGTATTTTTTCTGTTTCAAAATATTTTTTTGACTTCATGAAAATTGTTTAAAGATTTCTTATTTTTTGTTGGAAAATATGTTGTCATGAAAAGATTTTGTTGGTTGGCCCAACACTTTAACATTGTTGAAAAAAGACCACAGTGATCGGTTCAGGCATATTGACCTTCATAACTCGATAGGGGTACTCTGACTGAGTTTATGTGATTCTTCCGCTTTTTTCCATATTTTCCACTCTTTTTTTCATAAATTTCCGTGCGAAAATTTTTTTTATGTACAGGGTTCATACGCCTCCTGAAAAACTCCTGAAATTAGCTTTTTTTTTTCTAAGGGCCCTTATAACTCTTAAAATTGTCGTTTTAACTCTTGAAAATTATGTTTTATCTCCTGAAAATTTTTAACAAAGATAAAAACTATTCTTAAACGGAGAAAATAATTAATCATCCCTTCCATCTTCCCCAAATGCCTGTCTTACCAGTCATGCTGATGGACGCAGTACAGTGTGAATGCTCCCTAAGCGGAATGATCATTCAGTAGTGCCAGCGTTAAGATAATTTGAAGTGAAGTTACTATTACAATTAATGTAAACAATCTGTTCGCATGCACCCAAATGCAGTCGATTAAGCGTTGAACAGCAATCGAGTATTATTTTTTCATCTTTATTGTATTTACAGCTACAACAAGTATGCTTGGTGGAAAGTGCATTTTTAATAGCGACTGGCTAGCAAATGAACTGTATAAAGATTGGCTGCTAAGTGTTCCCGAATCTCGACATAAAGCATGTTGCTCACTGTGCAATAAAGTTATCAATGTTTGGAATATGGGCGAAACAGCCTTAAAGTACCACATGAAAGGGCTTAATCTTAAAAAGTTGGCAGAAAATAAAGAAAAAGTTGTGGATTTAGGAACTTTTTGCTCACCTCAAGATCATAGTGTTGAATCTCCTAACCAACCAAGTACTTCATATTCAGTTCAAAGTGATGTTCCTGTGCCGGTTTATAATTTGAATCGAGCAATTAATTTGAATAGCCTCACTACGAAAGCTGAAATTTTATGGACTTTAAAGGTTTTATGCTCACATTATTCCTACAAATCTTGTGAAAATTCAAATTTTCATTTTAAAGTTATGTTTTCTGATAGCGAGATAGCAAACAATTTCAGTTGTGGTGAGAGAAAAAACTGCCTACCTCTCAAGTTTTGGCATAGCGCCATATTTTTCGTCTCTACTTAAGTCAAGGGTGAAAGAGGAAACCAATTATGTACTGCTTTTTGATGAAAGTCTAAATGATGTTAATCAATTCAAACAACTGGATTGTCATGTAATATTTTGGGATGGTAACCAAGTAAATATGCGCTATTATTCTTCAGACTTTCTTGGCCATGCCACGTCTGAACTTTTATTTGAAAAAATAAATGAGAAATGCTTGTGCATCAGTACTAAAAGTTTACTGCAATTATCTATGGATGGCCCGATTGTCAACCTAAAAGTGCTAGACATAATGATGGAAAAAATGAAGAATGAACACAATGTGAGTCTCTTGAATGTAGGTTCATGTGGACTGCACACAATGCATAATGCCTTTGGTTGCTCTGCTACTTTTCCGGAAGTAGAGCATGCATCTGTTTACTGGTTTTTTGAAGACTCTCCTGCTTGAAGAGAAGATTTTGCATCTGTAAATAACTTGATAGTTGCAATAAGGAAAATAATAAAAAACTGGTGTGGAAGGAGGCTGCAAAAAATATCAGCAAAAGCTGTCAAATTTCAAAGGGAATTGCACTTAAAAAAATTAAAATCTAAGGTCTCAAAAAATTGTGCGAAAAATGAATTTTCTTGTCCTACCAACACTGATGATCAAAAGTCTGCAAAACCCAGTCTACAGATCAGTCATGTTAATGAAAGACCATAAAAAAAAAACAAAGAACTGATGAGAAAGTCCGCAAATGTCCTTTGACCATTCAAGAAAGTTTTTTTAAAATGATGTGATACATAAAATCGTGCCTTTATGATTCATGCATGATTACTCTAAGTTATCTAAATTATTAAAAGAAATTATTTTAATCAAGATTTTATTTAAGAACATGAGTACCATTTATTTATATTTATTTGAATCGATAATTATGTAATCAGTATCAGATTGGCTATTGAATTCATATCATTTTTTCTTTTGCATGTTTACTGCTACAGTTATAAACTTCCCCTTTTTTCAATCACATCCCTGGTTTATAACTGATGCATTTATTAGTATCTGAGTTTATCTGCTACCTATTTTGATACGACTGTGTTCTATATTTTAATATCTGTTCATTTAGTGGACGAAAAAAATATCCAAAATAAAATATAAATAAATAAAAGTGTGACTCAAGAAAAATTTTTGAGCTTGATTTTATTTGTACCAACAACCTTTTTTTGTTTGTGATCAAAATTTAAGGCCTCTTTTCCCTAAAAGCTTGCTTTTTTAAAATGCAGANTGCATGATTACTCAAAGTTATCTAAATTATTCTAATCAAGATTTTATTTAAAAACATAAGTACCATTTATTTATATTTATTTGAATCAATAATTATGTAATCGGTATCAGATTGGCTATTGAATTTATATCATTTTTTCTTTTGCACGTTTACTGCTACAGTTATAAACTTCCTTTTTTTGTTAATCACATCCCTGGTTTATATCTGATGCGTTTATTGATATTTGAGTTTATCTGCTACCTATTTTGATACGACTGTGTTCTATATTTTAATATCTGTTCATTTAGTGGACGAAAAAAATATCCGAAATAAAATATAAATAAATAAAAGTGTGACTCAAGAAAAATTTTTGAGCTTGATTTTATTTGTACCAACAACCTTTTTTTGTTTGTGATCAAAATTTAAGGCTTCTTTTCCCTAAAAGCTTGCTTTTTTAAATGCAGAAAGAAATAAAAACTATGTATATTTTTGTTCGAATTTGGGTATTGTTCTAAATATTAATTAGACTTTTTTTTAAAGTTTATAAGCTAAGTATAGAGCTAAATGATTTACTTACGTGAAATTGAATAATCATATTTGTTTCATCTCTGTAACTGGATTTGCAGTCTCTGAAAAAGTTGTCTTAATATTTTTTTTAATAAAATTTTTTTTTTAATTTTTTCTTTCTTTGCTGCTAGGATTATTTATGCATCACTACTGTAAATTAAAATATTGTGTTTAAAAAAAAAACTGCTGTATGTGTGTTATTTGAAATATGACTATTTGTAAATAATTGCAGCTTTAAAGCATTCCCCTTCAAAGCGTAAAGGGGTCAGCGCCAAGAAATCTTCTGCTGGAGATTCCAAAAGCATCCTTCCCAAAATTCCATCAGAAACTGAATGTGTTCAAGAGGAAGGTAACTATCTTTAATCGATATCGATTGTGACTCGAGAGCTACCTCTCTACTTTTTTTTTGTGCAACTGAAACACCTGTCTCGTGCCATATATTGCCACATTACTTAACTAGAATGATGATCTCTTTAAATTGCAAGAAATTCTTAATTATTTGTTTTAAATTATTTATTCCATAGGTGGTCCCATGTGTGCCCAGGCTGGAGAGAACTCTTCTTCTTGTGAAGTGAAAAACGATTGTTCTTCTGACAACCCAAAAAAATGTGCCAATGCTCCTCCTCCTAAAACAGCATCAAAGTCATCTTCTGTATCGTATAGTGGTAGTAAATCATCTTCTGTATCCTGGGAGCAGAAAACAGAAGTCATTAGGTAAGGCTGTTTAGTATTACCGTAGAAAATCTATTCTATAAACCGCATTCATTTTGAAGGTGTGAAAAATGAAAATTGCAGCTAAGAAATTTTTTTGCGACCAAGCAAAAAGTACCGTCGCACCCTGCTATAGTGAACATTGAAGGGACCGAAATTTTGATTCACTATATCCGTACTGCAACTAATTTTTTTTCCAAACTGCTCCCTTCTATAACACATTATTTAAATGAATGACCCATAAAAAATATATAAACATTATTGAAAAGCAATAAGTCAATTAGTTAACTTTTATTTTTTATGACTCTTCGTCTAAAGTACAAAAAATTTAGGTATGGGAAACTGAGGTAGAAGCAAAAAAAAAAAAATGCTTATGGCTACATTCCACTGAATAGCTGGTTTTAAAAATTCAGTACAGTGTAACGTCCGTCCCATATCCGGACGTCCCTTTTCCGGAAGGGTCAATTTCCCGGACACTTTTTAACAATCAAAATAAACAAACATCTACTATCTTCCCCTCTCTATTAAAAAAAAAAGTCTTTGCGCAGACGTTTTTTTCCTTTTCTAGCTTCTAGTGATTCTCATGCATTGAACCCATAAATCCACAGAAAGGGGAAGAGAAGACCTCCCAAGACTGTAAGTGATACTCCTCCTCAGGAAAGGAGGGAGATTTGTTTTCAAAAGAGCACAGCTGAGTCTCCTCCCCCCCCCCCATGGCTGGTAAAGGAGGCTATTCCGGGAACCATTTTATTAGAGTGTCAGGGGAAGAAAAAATACTGTTAAAAAGGGTTAACATAACTTGGAGGGGGAATCACTTTCAGTCACACAAGAAAAAATAAAGAGAACTCAATCAGCATGCAGCTCTTTTATGCTTGATTGATGGCCAATGATGGGAGAGAAAATAAGAATTTATCACTGCCCCACCCTCAACTTGAATGACAAATAAGGAGGAAATGAATTTTCTTCACCTACCCACCTTAATGAATGACTGGAATTTCCCTTTGCTTGAATCCTTCTAGTTCAAAATGGGGGAGAGAGCAATTAATGTTTTCATAACTGTCAATTTTTTTTTCCTTTTCTATTTTTTAAGCAATTATTATTTTTTTCTAATACAGTAGGGAACCGATTATCTGGAACGATTGGAACCATCGCTATTCCGGATAACTAATTTTTCCGGTTTTCTGAATCGCTACAAAAAACCGTTTTTTTTATTGTTAAACCCAACTAAAAAAAATTTTTTTTTTTTGGAAATCTTAAAAAGAAGAAAAATTGATGGAGTAATACACTAATGATTATTTCCAAAATGATGGTAAGGTAAACATCTTTCAAAGAAGAAAGAAAAATCCTAAAATCTTATGAGGGAAAAAAAAAAATTTTTAAATGGCGGGCAAATTTATCGAATTTCGTTCCGGTTTTCTGATTTCCGGATTACGGGTTCTGTATTGTATTTTGTTTTTGATTGATTAGATATCATTCTAATACTAAAACATTGCCCGAAAAATAACGTTTTTTTATTTTTTGCTTCTTAGATTCAGATTGTTTTAAGCTTTGTTTACCTGGGGGGTCTATTATACGGAAAAATCCAATATCCGGACTTCCTAAAGTCCCACCGATTCCGGATATGCGACTTTCAGCTGTATATGTATTTTATGTAGAAATTTCAAAATTACCCCAAAATGAAGAAGAAAAATTAGTGGATGACAGAAAAAAGTTCATAATATCCAATTTCCTCTCTTTTGGTTCACTATATCCACAAAAAATATTTGTGTTCACTATATCCAGGAGTTCCTTATAAACCATTTTTATCTTACATTGTTTGTATGTATTACCTTTTTAACAATATTTACATTGCTAAGAAGAGCACGTTTCAAAAGCTAAACTTTTAAAAAAAAGGAATAATGTTTAATAGTTCTAATACTCTACAAAATTTCAGATTTTTTTTCCTTGTAAATAATAAATAGTTAAATGCATATTTTTGTGTTTTAAAGTTGTTGTTTTTTTTCTGAAAACTATTTTAAAGCATTTTATTGTAATTTATTTGTTCCAGGCTAATATAGATTCCATGTTTTGTAGGTAAGTTTAAAGACGTGAAGTTATCTATATAATTCTACAAAACACAAACGTTTCAAATTTTGTGTTATAAATGCTGTGCCCACAGTAATAAAATCACTAGATTATAAAATAATCCCCTTTATAAAATTAAATTTGCAAGAACAGAATCAAAACAAAGTAATTTTCACACTGTTTTGTTACCTCCATCCGAGTTTTAGGCTTTTTATCTGACTTTCTCCTTTAAAGTCTTATAAATCATGCTTGATCTTTTTTTCTTTAAAACATCAGGGTTCAAAAAAGAAAAATGTGCTCTTATTTTTCTCTTAGTAATTATTGTAAAACCATTCTTTTATAAAAATTAATTTGGCCATTTAATTAGGTCAAATATTTGTAGGCATATGTTTACAGTGATGAAAAATCCTGTTATTTCTTGCCTAAATAATTACATATCTACCAACTCTACTGGATTTTGCCAGTTTCTCTTGGTCTACTTGTTTAATAAAAATTCTCCTGGTTTTTGTACATTTTAGAAAATTCACTGAAATTGGGTAAGTTTCCTAAGAAAATCGGTGTTGAAATTGAACTTTTGTACAGATTATTGCTTGTTTGAATATTTGAAGAAGTATTACTAAAACATTACGAAGCGAACCTCATTTATAGAAATTAGTTCAAAACTTTTTTTTATTTAGAACTCTCTTTTTAAATTAATTTTAAATATATCTTTTAGCTATCATTGATGAATTAAATGCCTGTTAATATTCAAAATTATGACTGATACATAACATTTCAGGTTCAATGTTAATCATGACTGGAAAATATTGCAGTTTTTCTATTTTGATGACGATAAAAATCCCTAATACAGGGGTGCCACTCTTCCGTCTTGGGGACGGAATTCCGTCCTATTAAAAAATATCAAATTCAGAAATTCAATTTTAAATTTGAAAAAAAAAAATTTTAAAAATAAAATATATGTATACATTGCTAAAAATGTTTTTTTTTTTTCGATAATTATTTCAGGAAAATATCTTTTCTCGTTTATTTCTTCCTAAAATTTAGAAGTAAAGTCATATTATTCACATAAGCGCAAATGGGAGTGGCTTCAAGAAAAAGATTCAGGTGGTATTCTACATGTGGAGTGGTGTAGAAAATTAAAAGAAGTGGGTCATTGTTTTTGCTTTCTCTGTGGAAAAAAATTAAATTATGCTAACAATGGTAAAAAAGCTTTATTAAAGCATGCAGAAGATAGCGAACATCAGAAAAACTGTCGTTCTCAGAAGTATGTGCAAACTCTTCCAGGTGCAAAACAACAGTCTGAGAAGGCTCCTCTTGCATTATGTGATCGTATAGCAAATCAAAANAATTGTAAAAACATGATACTTTGAAATTAAACAGGGATATGCATTGTTACACATATTCTAGATTTTTATTATTTTAATATTTCTTTTCTTTTTTTTTAAATTATAATATATTATGTCCTGCTAAGTCTTTTTTCATAATTTTGTAATAAGCATTCCAAAAATTTGAATAAGTTTATGCATGGATGTATTCCACAAAATTTCAAAGAGGGAAGAAAAAAATCTAAAAACAGGGGGAAATGCTCATGTTTTTTTATCAGAAATTTTTGCTGGTTATCAACATTTTTGAAATTCTTGGCTCCTTGCTCAATTGTATAGGCCATTTTTAGTTTCTAGTGTCCCAGAAGAAATAAGTTTCTTCTGGGCAAAATGCCAGCCTTGATCAAATCAAACTTAATTTTAATAGGCAGCAGGCACTTTATTATAGTTTGTGGGGAGAGTTATTGACAATGTCAACCTTTGTCTATCTAAAGGTACCCCCACCATAGAATCTTATTATATGCTGGTGAATTGGAATTTTATTTTTGTAGCGGTAGGCACACTACAGTACTCCCCCTCCAGAATTATAACTGTGATAGAATTCGATGAGCAGGAACCCCTCTAGTTAAGTCATTGCTGTTTTGTGCGAAACTGGGAGAGCTGTATTAAGTTCACAATCGTGGTCGCTCCTGTATTGCATTTAGCAATCGAGTGAATACGTCGTACGTGATCGAGACTGAGTGGCAACAGTGTGAGGAGGTGAATAAAGTCACAAGTAGTAAGTCAACTGTACAATGTGGACCATCCATCGAAGTATGTCCAGGTCACCAATGTGGGTAGAATTATCGATAATGTCAACCTTTGTCTATGTAAAGGTACCCCACCACAGAATCGTGTTAACATGTCTTATATACTAGTGAATTGGAATTGTATTTTTGTAGCGGTAGATACACTACAAGTGCTTTGAAGAGGAAAATCAAAATCTGTTCTCATTCTAGATATTTTATTTCAGCTTATCACAAGTTACTTTCCATACTGCAGAGTCAGCAGCAGCAGCAGATTGTGTGTCTGAAACAAGTAGTTCCAGTACGTCTGGCATTGGTTCAACGTTGCACACAGTAACGTGGACGCCACCCCACAGTGTAGAGGGCTCTACTCCCACACACACAGAAGGAACGCCCTCTTTCACAGAATCTAGCTCTAGTGGGGATGCTGGTAAGTTTTATCAGTCTCTGAATAATAATACCAAAGTTAGATAATATTTTGAAAAACCTTTTTGATTTGGCCTATCTGCAGGTTTAACATTAGCCTGATAACGTAAAATTCAAAGTTTCAAAATTTTAAATTTCTATCTTTATTCAGTTTATTTAAACTGATTTTTTTTACAGGAAACAGAAAAAGGTTTAGTTGCATTCAAGTCTAATGAAACACTTTAATTCAAAATTTTTAAAAAAATTTCAATATTGGAAAAAATATTAAATACTCAGATTCCCTCTGAGTAAGAAATTATTTTGAAAAATAAAAAATGATTTAAAATGAATTAACTGAAATTTTTTTTCAATTAATATTTTATTTATTATTTAATATAAAAATTTTTGTAAATTGTAATTTTTATTCTAGTTTAATTTGTAATTTTTAAAAACTGTTTCTGAAGTTTTGTTACCACTGTTGAATTCAGCTTTTTTCTTTAGCTGAAGCATGCCTGTTTGATTTAAATCAGATTTTTTTTAAAATTTAAATTGGATTTTTGTAGAAGACGGTTAAAACTTACATTTACAATTGGTTAACTTTTATGAACGTAATTATAATCAAAATATTATTAAAAATAAATTATTACCAAAGAATATAGAAAGATAAAGTTCAGCTCTTCGAATGCGTAAGTAACGTGAGGAACTGATCAGTGTAGTATGCTGTACCAGAAAAACAACTTACAGGGTGAGCAATGCACTCAAGATTTAGCAAAGCATCAAGCGTTGCCCATGAGATGCAAAGAAGAGAACTTTTTATTTCCTCTCCAACCCCAGTAGTGATTAGGAGGATGATGAAAACCCATTACAAAAGCCTCTGTCCTAAATGTTACTTTTTTCTTTATTCACATTGACCGCATCAAGTCTTGGCAGGCTGGTTTAATACAGGTCTGTCAAAGCTAGCCTTCTTCTCCTATGTATGACTATACTTTTAAGCTGTATACCTCACTAAAAATATACTATTCAAGGGTCTGTACGAGGCAAATTTACTACTGTTTAGCTGCACCTTCACAAATTCAACTATAGAAAAAATTACAGTTTCAGAAAATGCTTCTAAAAAGATGTTCTAAGATTCTCCTCCCCGTAAGTAACTTTTTGTATCCCCGTTTTTTTTTTTAATTATACGACTGTAAACTTTACAGGAAGTTGAAATTTAAACATTCAACTGGTTCTAAATTTACTCTAACAGACCTTTATTTTTTTTATAAAACATTTTTTTCTCTGTAAAAATTTTTTCTATATGACCCCTTGGGAAATGTTCTCATAATGAAAATAACTTTTAGTGCAAATACTGTTAAATGCATGTTGTTTTTTTAAAATTAAAGTTGAAATTAAACTATGGACAATGATTTTAAATTTGGATAATATTTTAAGCCCAACATTTTACGATAGCAAAATTATTTTTGAATATATGGGGGAAAATGTATAGAAATTTTTCCAATCATAAATGATTTTTATGTGTAGTGACAATTTTTGTAAATATTGTCTTACTTTATCATATTTTTGTGTTGATTTTTTTTATATGATTTTTAATTTTCACAAATGATGTCTAAATTTTCGCAAAATAGGTACCTCTCATAAAAACCTAGACAGACCCCTGCTAATATACATGGTGCGTAGCATTTTTAAAGGTGCTTATTTTCATTTTTCAAAAGCCCTTAACGGTGCTTTTTTAATAGGGTGTTTTTAAAAAGTGCTTTGTTTTCCCTTTTCCAATTTTTTTTTATTTTATTTATTTACTGTGAGGATTTTGCCACATATTTATGCAAAAGAGTGCTTTTCACATTGTTCTATTCAACGTTTACACAATTCAATCTACTTCCAATTGTTAGATCCAATAATTTTACATGTTTGATGAAATACTTGCAAGTCTACTGAGCTGGGTTTGGTGAGATTCTAGCACTCTCATGTGCAACTCTGTTGTATTTTGCAAGATATTCTAAATTTAAGGCTTCATTTTCCACCCTCTGAAATCAAACGGAGAACAGAGAAAATCTCTCAATCTTTTAATGGTGGCTAATATAATAATAATTAAAAAAACGAGTTCTACGTCAGAAACTAGTTATTTTATCATGTAAAGTCTTTTAAAATTATTTTGCATTTTGTTACTTAAAAATATTCTTTGAGTGCTTAAAAAGTACTGAAAGGGTGCTTATTTTTTGTTGAAAGGTTTGGCTATGCACCCCGATATATGATGCGGTTTTATTCAAAATGGTATCTCTTTCAACTACTGAAAAATTCACTTTGAAGAAAAAAAAATTCCATGTTTAATAACTGTCATAATTTATTTCACACTGAGAAAAAATATAATTTTTCTAATTGAAACTTATTAGCACAAGAATAAATTTTGTTTAAGTAATCTTAAAAGTCAATGAAATTGTGTATTTGTTTATAGCATGCCCAACGACTCCTGTTAAAAGTATTAACAAGTCTCTGGACTCTTTACCACCTTTAGGAGAAACTCAAATATTGAAAGGAAGTGAGATGGTGAGTCTTTTTTTAACTTTAATGGTGGTTTAACACTAGGTTTGCAGATGTTTCTTATATACCTCTATCTCTAGGAACATGCATCAATTTGACGCATGAACAGAACAGCACTTAGAAAGCAATGTACTTATATACTATAAGGAAAAAAATTAAAATATGAGATATATATTTATGAAATATTCTTGTATTTTACTTTTCAGTACTCGAACTAAGCAACTGAAACCTTCAGAATCTGACATCAATTGACGTTCTGCATTTGTTCCATTATTGCTTATCCGCAACAGTTGTTTATTGCTTGTTTCATTTGGCAGGGTGCGTAGCATTTTTAAAAAGTGATTAATTTTCCCTATTCGAAATGTGATTTTTTTTTTTTTACCATGTTGATTTTCGCCACGAATTATGCAAAAAGACATTGTCCTATTCAACATTTTCACGATTAATTCAACCCCAATCTATTTCGGTGTACCTCTGATCTGTAGTGTATGAAAACACTATTTGTTTTACATGTTTGATGAAATACTTGCGGGTCCGCACTTGAGTATACTGTGTTGGATTCAGTGGAAAGGATTTTTTTACTCTCATGTGCCTCTCTGCTGCATTTTGCAAGAGATCCTCAATTTCAGACTTTATTTTCCACCCTCTGTAATAGAATTGAAAAATCTCTGGAATTTTTGCTGATTACGGGGACCAACTAAACATGTCAATTTTTTTCTCTATTAGTGACTGAAAATTTGATTTCTCTTTTTAATTTCATCATTTGCAACGCCCTATCATCTTTGTCGCTGTAAATAAAACCATCAATTGTCAAAAACTTGCCACTCATGTCTAATTATAATATTTTTCAAAGTACTTAAAAATATTTTTTGAGTGCTTGAAAAGTGCTTAAAAGGTGCTTATTTTTTGTATAAAAATTTGGCTATGAGAACGATGTCTGATAACGGATCAAAGTATTGTCGGTACATTGCTATTTATTATTGGTGTGATGTTTCAATGTTTACTCAAAAGTCTAAATTACGATAGCGTCGAATTGACGCATATCCTTAGAGATAGGTATACCACAAAGAGAATTTCAATATTTCAAAGCTTTTGAAGAAAATAGACTTCAATATATATTTACCTCAATCAATGGATAAAAGTCATTACGAGAGATAAAATAAAAATGCAAACTGATTTTGTAATTTTCCTTATAAAATTTTAAATGCGCCAAATGACACATCCCATAGACCTAGTGTTAATAAAAACCAAATAGTTGCCAAAGTTGGCAAAACAGTAAAACAATAAAAATTTGTTTTGCAGAAGAAAATAAATTGTTTGATAGATGGGACTGGCAGATTTCATTTTTGCTCTTTTAATATTCCTTCTGCTAGGGACAATAAAAAAAAAAATTCCTCTCTGCTATGCATACCTGCCAAGTCTCCTGTTTATAACGAAAACTCCTGTAATATAAATGGGAAAACTCCTGTAATATTAACGGGAGACAGTGGTGAACACTGTCTCCCGTTTACCCTTATGTTCTCAAATTTCTCTGTATGTGCTGAAATTTTTTAAAAAATGTCAGTAAAATATCCTCTGATGGCAAAAATACTTCTCTTATTCCTCAACTGATAGTGCTATAGCCAGCACTGCTGCAGTATGTTGAGTGGTAATAGTTTAAATAATGGTTTAAAAAAGTTTTTTTTAGGTTAAGATTTATATACATGTTTTTTACTTCACTTTTATTATTTCCAATTTTGAATTTCTCTTTTTAATTTACATAATTATGTGTGATGTATCAAAACTTAAAGCTTAGTCTAAAAAATGTCGCTAATAAAATCTCCATTTTATTTCTCGAATGTTGGCAGGTATGGCTATGGCTCCACTTTCTTTCGATGGATGATCTTTGAACAAAAAGTGCCCTAAAAATAATATCGTGTATTTTAACCCATCAGTCGGCACATATTTTTGGGAGACCATCTTCAGATTTCAGTTTTTAATAACAAGAATAGTAAATAAACAATTTTCAATTAAGTTAAGAAGATGTTGGTAATAGAAATAAGTTGTTTTGAACAGATAAGATTGCGCACCATGTGTACAGACAGCTCCTCAGAATGTTTTTATTGTGAGATGCAGATTTTGAACAACGGGTGTGCAATTCAAAAATAAAATGAAAACAAATCATTATATTGAACAACATTTATTTCAAAGATAGTCAGTTAACTTAAAATTGTTGTAATGACATAAATCGTTGAGTAAAAATAAATTTTTAAAAAGCAGGCATCAAATGTGTTGTCTAAATATCCTATTTTCATATTTGTGTTGTTCTGATCATTTTGCATAACAGCAACATTTCAGTTCTTTTACCTTCAAACAATAAATAATCACTTTCACTGCTCATTTTCTGTAATCCCAACAGTCCTGCCTTTGTGTCTCTCATTTTATTGGCTAATTTGAAATTTGTACTTTTACACATTTATAAGATAATATTTATTTTAAACTCTTCTTATCCTGGTGGCTACTTTTTAGCTATCTTAAAACCATATGGGATTGCAGGTGAACCATCAATGCTCGATTATTTACATTAGCTTAATATTTTTAGTTGTGAATAAGGGAATTACAAATATATCCGTAATGTGAGGCGTCCACTTTGTAAGAGAGTTTCAAACGGGAGGATATATATTTATTTGTATATATATATATAATTTTGGCAAAACTTTTAATTTTTATAGATTTTTAAAAAAGAAAATTTTATTTATTTCACATAATTTACTGATATTAGAATTATATTTAATGATTCCTTATTTTTATTTTGTAGGAGGGATGATGGTTATTTTAAGATCCAAGGTTTTTTTTTTTAAATTTAGAAATGTCATTGTATCTATTTTGCTTCTAGCTATTTTTATTATATTTCTTTTTGCATTTCTTGTGTGCAACTTCACCATATTACCATGGTTGCACGTTGAAAATATATTTAAAATATAAAATCTACTTAGCATACAATCTCTCTCTTTATATATATATACATGTATTGTGTATATATATATGTATATGTTTTTATATGTATATAGATATACACACACTGCCATACAATAATGGAAGACACCTTTGGTTTTGATATTTTTTTGAATTTCTCAAGAAAGAACTTAGAGACTGTTTTGTAATTTTCAAAATATTACAGGGTTTCCACTCCACAGGGAAAACCTGGAGAATACAGGGAATTTAAAAATCACCTTAAATTACAGGGAATTTTTAGTTTTTCTTTACAAACTGGGAAATACAGGGAATTTTGCTTCTTATTTTTGTCTTTTAAAAAATGATGACCACTCAAAGGGCAATCTATGGCATATTTAAGGATGATATTTGAGCTATACTAAACTATTTAATTTACTCTAGCATTATTTGTTTTGAATATGTTCAGCTGTACCTTTTTTCTCTACGTTTCTTCGGTAATTAAATTTAGTATAGTTCACACAATATATATCTCACACAAAAGCTCAGTGATAGTGTGTTTCCTCTTAAAATANATGATTTTTATCTGGAAAACCTGGAAAAATCAGGGAAATTTGAAATCGGATTTGAGTGGCCACCCTGAAATATCTACAGGGAATATTTTTTTTTCCTGATTAGAGTGGCAACCCTGTATTTGGTTCATGCTATTTTTCATACTTTACAATAAAGTTTAAAGCTTCCAAGGAACCAATAACAGTACATTACAATAGAAAACACATATTTTTGTACACGCTATGGCAAAAAAATCGCGCAATAAGTTTGTAATTTGCTTCGATAACTTAGGTTATTTTCAACAACTACATAAAATTTCATAAATCCAGCTTAAATATTTATGAAGACATTTTTATCAAAAAAAAATTTGTTTTCTTACTATAACTTTAAAAAATATTTAGTAGAATTAAAGAAATTTGAAATAAATTACAAAATTATTGTGTTGAAATTTGAAAAGAATTTGTTTCTTTTGTACTGCACGTTAGCAAAAAAATAAATAAATAAAATTATTTTTCATAATTTTATTGTGAGTTGTACTTGGCAACCAATGAAAAAAATTCGATACTTTTTAAAAGAAAGGTTGGAATCAATAGTGATTTTATACATATTGAATTCTTGCTGTCCCGTCATTATAGGGTAGTGTAATTTGCAATACCACATAATAAAATCTGCAGAAAAAAACTGATTATTTTTTTTAAAAAAGTATATGGAAAATTGCTTGAAACTTTTAGCATTTTTAAGATATTTATATCAGATTTTTTCCATTAGTTACCTAAGAATTACTTAAAAGAACTACTTTAAATACTCATATCCTGCTAAATTTTTTTTTAAGAAAAATTATACTTTAAAACAATTTTGTAACTCATTTTAAATTACCCTAAATTTTTTTTAATTTTACTGTTTTTAAAGTTATCACAAAAAAAAATATACATAACAAAAAAATTTGTTTTTTTTTTTTATAAAATTTTCTTATCTTAATAAATATTTAAGCTAGATTAACGAATTTATACAAGCTTATTGCTTGATTTTCTGTATAGGGTATTCCAAAGTACTTGTTTTCTTTCGTAATTAATTCTCGGTCTCTCAGCCCTCTGAAAGCTTTAAACTTTATTGAAAAGTATGAAAAATCGCATGAACTAAATACTTTTAAATTTACGAAATAGTCCTCTAAGTTTTTCTTAAGAAATTGAGCAAAAATATCAAAAACTGAAAGTGTCTCTTCCATTACTGTAAGGTTAGTGTGTATATATATATATTTATTCATTCATGATATATTCTGAAGATGTGTCTAATCATCGAAATAAAATTTTAAAACTATGAAATTTCTTCCAAAAACTAAATAAATTGTTCTTTTGCTGTATAAAGTTATTACCATTTTTTAATCATTTAGTTATGAAATTTTCCAATTTAAAAAAAAAAAATTTTTTTTACTTTCATGCTGTTTGTAGCTTCCAATTTTAAGTAAAAAAATACATTTTAGATAACTACAACTTCAGATAAAATTTTTACACTTCAAAATGTAT